CAACCAGTGGAGCAGTTGTAATTGGAGGGGGGGGGAAATCATATGTTATCTATAATCAGCCCTAGTCCTCAGTCTGGCTGCTGACTGGGGCTGGTTATTCAAAGAGTACTACCGCTGATGGTTGTTGTAGGTTTTTTGAGCTGTTTGGCCGTGTTCTGAAGCTTAAACCTTCAGAACAGGACAAACAACCCAAAAAACCTACATCAACCATCGGATCCCAGCTGTGAAAGTCTTCGAGAATACAGTGCCCTCACAATTGAACTGGTAACCAGAGCATCCAGCAGCACAGTAACCTCATCCATGACTGGCTGAACATTGCCACTTCCAAAAGAGGAGAAGAACCTCCATTTTGTTCAACCTGAGCTACTATTTGCCTTTATCCAAACCATTACCGTTCGCCCAGGCAACCAACGAAATTCAATTTATGAAGCTGAGCAAGACATTCAGATTGGACATAAATAACATGTTTTACTGGTAGATTTGAAAGGTTTGTCCTGTGGGAAAGTTGCAGTGAGCACACTAATTCATTGGGGGACTGATACTGCAGCTGGTCTTGATTTTTGGCAGTGTTGTGTGCACTCTGTGCCAATATTTTTTTTTAAATCAACAAACAGAGCAATGTTAGGCACTTCATGGATTGATGCATAACATTCAAAAGTAAAATGGATTTTGGTAACTATATATGTGTATGTACAGTATTGCACAAACTCAGTACTTTTGCAAAAGTATCCTTATTTTACCTTGTTCATACTACATTTAAAACCCTGCTAGTCATAAGCAGAAGCAAAAAAAAAAAATCCTATAGGACACTAAAGACCTACTGCCAAACTACGTGCAATTTTATTCAGCACCCTTTGGACCTCTGAGATTGACCAAGCATTCCTCATATACCTTTGAGCTTATTTTAAAAAATACAGTTGTCAGGACTTTACGCATCTCAGCCCAGAATTTGGCCGTTCAGAATCTCCAAGCTTGAGAGCTGAAAAGAAATTGTATACTGAAAACTGTTCTCTCAGAATTGCAGTGGATATACTGCCTTGCTTTGGGGAACAGGAGATTGCTACTTTAAAGACTGGCGTCTGTTCCATCCTGGGGATGGTATGCCACCAAAGTCCAGGTCACATCTGTGGCAACATCCATTCCCCGATTAGGAAGACGACAGCTCAGCAGGCTCTCACTGCTGGTGAATCAATCCCCACCTCCTCGGTCTCCACTTCCTCCTCTGTTTCATTTTCATGTCGCAGCTTGATTTTTCCAGGCAGATGGCGAGTGCTACAGAGAACTCCAATAGCAACAGAGCAGCCTATGAAAGAGTTAGATGCTGGGATAGTCGGAAGCTGATGGGCAAAATGTATCTTTGTAGAAAGGTACGGAGGATGAGAACAAGGGATGTATGCTGCTTGTACTGTATTGAATTGCATAGTGAGAAAAAGCAAACCTGGGAGGACAGTCAGGTGAAAAAGTGCTTGCTTTTATTTATCAGTTGGTCCAACCCCTATGCAGAGCTGAACATCCTGTAAAGCAGAGTTTAAATGCTGCCTCTGACAGCAAATGCTGGAGGTGAGGCAAGGAGGAGCAATAAAAAGATGTTGGTGGCTGTCACAAAGACTGCCATGCACCTCCTAAATTAGCCTGTTGCCCTCACATGAAATAGAAAATGCTGGCCCATTATCGTTATTGAATAAGGATTCCACTGCCCGTCTGCTCAGATGCTTAGTAGGGCAGCCAGAGTGTTATACAGTTTTGGCCTTCACTACAGGCAACAAAAGGTCTTGGGCCAACTCTCTATGTGTTGAGCAGTTTTGTGTAGGCATCCTTCAGTCTCAAGAGACTATGGTAACATGCTCTGAATAGATGTTTTGGAACAGCATCTAGTGTGGCTGAGAAGGCCAATACGAGAGTGACAATCCCTTCCACACCGAAGACAAATACAATCCGTCCCCTGTCCAGCTCCCTGATTTTGATGGTTTTGGGACTGCCTCTTTGCCTCAGCCTGCTGAACAAGTGTCTCTTCAAATTGGGAGAGGCCATGGTGCACCACCTGCCTCCAGGCTGAACACTCAGACGTCAAGGTTTCCGATCTGTTGAGGTCCATTCCGAAGGCCTTCAGATCCCACTTGCAGATATCCTTGTATCGCAGCTGTGGTCTCCCTCTGGGGCACATTCTCTGCACTAATTCTCCATACAGAAGATCTTTTGGAATGCCAATGTAGATGTCACTGTTTCAGTAAGAGCAGTTTTAAAGTTGGATCATATGTTAAGGCAAGTAGTGTACATATTTCCTCATCTTACAATGTTTTACTTCAAGGCTCCAAAATCTGTCACAACTTTTGAGCCTGAGATATCAAATACACAAAGAAACCATACAATCTCTTGGTTGACCAATTGCAAAATAAAAACAGCTCAATTTATCACATTTGGATTGTTAGACACTCTTGTAACAATTTTCCTGTGAGAAGAATCAGACAGTTATTTCCTGTTAAAGTCACCTCTGCTTCTTATGACATGTATTGTCCCGCTTGGCCCTTTCATGCTGAGTTTAAGTGGGTAAATACTTTTTTACAGCAGGAGAATAAATGGAGGAAAAAACCTCCATTAATCTGTTGTTATGACATGCCTCTTAACTGGTATAGGTAGAAATAGTGTTCCTGCCAATATCGTGAAATGGCTTAATAATGTGAGCCACTTCAGGATATTAACAAATTAATTGCTTTACCTGCTCAGCAGAGGGCAAGGAAGTGAAATTTTTTTTTACTATATATAGACTATTGCTGATGCACTGCATCAGTTATAATTTTTTTTCTTTGCCTCTTAAAGGGCCAGTTGAGAAACTGCCGGCAGACAAGGCCACTGCTGTGGATTTAACTGTAGGAGGTTTCTCGGCAGGCCCTTTAAGGCAAGGCAAAGAAAATATTTGTTTTAAATAAGTGCTGTAGTATATCATCAACGGTCTATATATAGTAAAAAAATTGTTTTTCTCCCCACTTTCCGTGCTGAGCAGGAAAAGAGATTTAATTTTTCAATATCCTGACATGGCTCACTTATTAAGTCAATTCTCAATACAGTATTGGCAAATTCAAAGAGAAAGGATCAGTTTGGATAGGGTTCAGCAATCACACGCATTGGAACCAATCCAAACTAGAGTGATCCTATCTGCACCAGGAAAGTTGAACCCCCTTGATAGAGGTTGGAAAGATGCAGATAGGGATGCTCTGGAAGAGGGCTGGTGCGCTCTAGCAAAAATATGGTCTGATCACTGTCTTTAAGAGCACATCAACTCATCTAAGCAGCATTCCAAACAGCAAGCTAAGTACCCCATGGAGTCAGCCTCAAAATCCCTTTGTTGCTCCAACCTAGCAGCTTTTATAGTAAGAGTGTGGAATCTGTGATGTTTCAGATGTTGATGGACTGTTACTCTTCTGCAGCAAAGGTGACTGGGGAATTCTGGGAGTTGAAGTCCAGAAGCTTCCCCCCCAAATGTTGAAGCCCGCCCACAAGTTCTGATCTGTTATAGTTATGTCTTTTTAAGAGACTGGTGTGGCTGCAGTATCCTTCTTTGGGCTAGAACTGAGCAATAGCTTCTGTTCCTCGCTTGTTTTTCTCTTGCATTGTTTTCTGGTTTACAGGCCACTTGAAGCAGGGATTGGGATTAGGACCTTTCTTTTCATCCTTTGTACACAGATGATGTCAACAAGATAAATGAGTAAACACATCTCTAGTTGTATTTCCCTGCAATGAATTTCCTTGTCTTTCAGTGTTGGCAGTTCTGGATGGAATAATCGAAGTGCACTTTGATGAAGCCAAATTATTCCTCCACAACAGAGGCAGTCATTTTTGTTTCTGGATAAATTACTACTCTGATTTTGTGTGCTTCCTTTCTATCAGGAAGCATGCCCACCCCTTTACAAATGAGCACTTCAGATTTATATGCACTTTAAAAATAAAAATGCTGCTCACAAAAGCTGATGGTAACTTGTCTCTATCACGCCACAGTTGAAAATATTGGTTATAAACCTGAGGCCTGCAAAACTTGGATCCAAACTACCTGGGCGGCTGTACTTTCTCATATAAATCTGTTTAGGCACCAAAATCATTCTGGGGGGCCCTTCTCTTAGTCCTGCTGTTCTCGTCTCTTCAATGTAAATACAAGATATTGTCTTCTCAGAGACTCCTCCCAGGCTGTGAAAAACTTTTATTGAGAGGGACTAGGCTGCCCCTTCTGTGTTGTCATTCCACTAGCTGCTGAGAAAAAGGCTTTAAACTCATCATTGGTGCTGTATGCTGTCAAGTCTCCTCTGACCTCTGGTGATCATAGTGGGGCCTTAAAGTAAGCAAGACATTAAAGTAGAGCAGGAGCCCCATACGCGCTGGGGATTAGTTTCAGCCCCTCTGTGGATACTGAAAATCGTAGATACTGTACTGCAATAGCAAATCAAACCAGATTTTTTTTTCTCATGCCTTGCCAGAACTGGCCACTAGAGACTATTTATCTGTTTTTTAAATCAGTATCTGAGCTGCCTTGTGTCCCAGTGCTCTGAGCAAGATCTTCAGCAAATATAAACCAGGATAAACAACTAGTACCACAATCCTACCTCACAGCAAAGGCTCTCTCTTAAATTTTTAAAACAGCTGAATAGCTTTTCACAAAACTGATGTATTGTAAACAGTTAAAATGAGACAGGAAAGAAAGCATGTTGAAAAAGTGTGTGTGTGTGGGGGGGGAAATGGATTTCCTGATAACAGTGAACGAGCAAGTAAAAATTAAAACATTTCCCCAATTTTGTAGGACATTCTAATTCACAATGGAAAGGATTTGTATACCCCAAGACTATTAAATGACGATCTCAAAGTAAGCCCACTAACAGTCATATCCCATAGGGCTCCTGGGCAGTAAATCTCCATTCACTCAATAGATCCTCACTTCACAGCAGCCGGTTTCAAAAGTAGCATCTTAAAACAGAACTACGACTCCCAGTAGTCTTTGCGCTACAATTGTTGGTCCTAACCAATCCGGGCGAGGATCTTTGTAAGGTGCGAAGATGGCGGAGCCCAGGAACTAAGAAGTGTTCTGTATTTCTTTGTACAGGGACAGGAGTTGGTAAGTGTGGTGTTGATCGTGCGTTTTCCCCCTTTGTCGTTCAAATATAGAGATTCAGGTAGTTAGTTAACGGCTTTGACTACTCAGAAACCAAGAATCCCGTCCGAGCTCTCGTTAGCGAACATGGCAACCTTTGTTTTTCAATTTTAGCTTTGTTCAAGCAAAAGCTTTTAGTGGCTCGCGGGGACTTTTATTTCCGTGGCCTGCTGGTGTGTTTCATGTTCAGAGTCAGATTTCCCGTCCATTTATGTAGCTGTGCACCCACAAGCAAGCACACATTCTGAGGTACGTGCTCATAAAGAATGCACGCTCAGGATCTCTTGCACGTTAGGCAGAACGCGTGTGTGTTGTGATACTGTACGCTTAGAACAAAGAAGGTCCTTTCTGGATTAGAGCAAAATCTCCCAGCTAGTACGCTTTCTTTTTGCAAGAGTATCAGCAAGGATGATGTACCCCAGTGGAAATTGTTGAGTGATCGAACCCCAGCAGTGGACTGGAATTAATTAGGCATTAACCTTGGCTAAGCCCTGTTGATTTGGGCCGCTTGATACATTGCATGGGGAAGGAGGAAATACAAATTTAGTTTGTGGTCCTGTGCACATGCATTGAGTTATAAATGTTTTTTAACTCAGGGTTATTCCTGAGTATGATGCACAGGCTGAGGTACTGAAAATGTTTTAAGTATATATGTGGTTATGTAAATATGTGAACACATGGGGCTAAGATATGCTTTCAGACCTTACGTATCTATATCAGTGTTCATGTGCTGTATGGAGGACAAGATTACAGATTTAGTACTGAAAATGTTTTAAGTATATATGTGGGTATGTAAATATGTGAACACATGGGGGCTAAGATATGCTTTCAGACCGTACGTATCTATATGAGTGTTCATGTGCTGTATAGAGGACAAGATTACAGATTTGCTCCAAGAAACCTACACTCCAAATTGCCCACATGGGGATAGTACTTTTATTAGGACCAACATAATTTCTACAGGAGCATGCAAGCTTTCAGATTTTCCAGAGTTCTCCATCAGGCTTAATGGTTCCAAAAAATAAGACAGTGGTGGCTTTGGGGTGGAAGCCTGACAGTGGGTCAATCCTGTGGCCTTCCTCTTTCGAGCCTGATTAAGAATTCTGGACAATTCAAACTTGCAGACAGCACTGTGTTTCCTGCTGTCACTCCTAATCACTTGGTATTGCATGGAACAACTATTTAACAATGAAGTTCAGTGCAGTTAGGAATATCAACAAGGACAATGTGGCCCTGTGGAAATTCTTCAATAAATTTATCTTATCTCCTTCTAAAGCCACCTAAACTGGGGCTACCACATCTCAGTCTGTGATGAAGGATGTTCTTTTGTCTGTCCTGAATCCAGATAGAGCTCACACAGAACTTTCCATCTGAGATCCTAAATTCTAAAGATATGAGAGTGGGAGAAAACCTCTTTCTGTTTGTTTTTTCCACAGAATGGCTAATTGTATGAACACCATTCACATTCCTCCATTACTAACTTTCTAAATTAAAAGCTCTAAGAATCGTATTTTTTCCTTGTAGAGCAGATACTTCAGCCACTTGATCACATTTTCTGCACTTTTTTCTGAGCTTTATATTATATGTGAATACGTAGGGTGATCATAAATGGACACCGTTTCCCACACGTGACCATGTCAGTCCAGATAAAGGTGTTGCTATACTGTCAGTTTCACTATCAACTAGAAATCCGTTTCATTGAATTTACCATTTGTACTGCTATTGTGCAGATCATGTTGCTATTTTATCACAGATTGCGGTTCATGCCCCGTCAATGTAAATGTGGTATTTAAGATTTTTCACCTGGTGAGATGTGTTTGAAGTTGTTTGTGGTCTCCATTCTGAGCAGAACTGTAATTTGTTTTATAAAAGTTGTTTATTATTTTATTTACTTTTTAAATTATTTAAAAATGTACTTTAAAATGCAAAAATGGCAAAAATACCTCCAAATGGATTTTTTTTCTGTTACAAAACACAATCTTATGGGTGCTTAATCAGAGGTAAATAGCAACTGACATGACTAGTATGAAAAATAATTAAGTAGTATGCATATGTATAGCAAATGTTCCTTTACCTTAAGTACACTGTTTTGTGGTTTAATTTTGAAAGTAATCAAAAGCAATTATTTCATCACACACATACACACAAATAGAGCATACAGTACTTGGCAGGCACCTGATGAATTAGTAGGTCTTGCATTTTTTAAAAATTCATTTTGTGATGGAACAAACAATTCTCCTAAAACAATGTTTTTGGCACAAATAGTAGTTCTTACTTGCTAAATTAACAAAGCAACAGTGTTATACCCATTACATTATTTTGAAAAAGAATATATGATTTTGACTACAGTACACCAAAAGTGACATGCTGCTCCCTGCTCTGATCCTGAAAAATGTAATGTTTCCTGATCATCTTAGCCGTGCCTTCAAATCATTTATGAATAATAATGATAAGGATTCTAATATAAATCCTTGATAGACAATATTTTTTCACTTCACTCCATAGTGAGAACAATTCACTTACTCCCGCTGTTTGATTCCTGTTGTTTAACTGCTTAGTAGTCCACAAGGGCTCTGTGAGCATATTTCATTACTTTTAAATTTAAAAGGCTTTGGTGACATAGGTAAAAGATGGCTTTGTTTGCACATTCACTGCTCAGTGACTAGGAGGAGGATTTTAGAAGCTTTTATTTTGGTCCTGCTTAAACCTGAATTGCCACGGACACCAAACTGGGGATTATGAAATCTGTTACTATGGCCAGGTTCAAAACAAATCAGCTTCAAACTATGTATTAAGAAGGTAGCTTATTGAAACAATCCAGTATTCGTATGAAGCCATAATTCTAAATCTGGATATAGCAACATAAAGTTTAAGGATAAGTGAAAGCAAAAACTTCCTGACTTGTCTTCCTGACTAAAGGATTAGTGGGGGAGCTCAAAACTTAAAAAATGGCTAAGCTATTTCATGTCCGATATACCATGGCTTGTGTGACACACAACATGGCCAACATATCCAGTTTATTTCTATGTTTCAGTTCTGTTCCTCAGTCAAGCAAAGTAGGCCAATAGACTAAGTAGAATTGATAGCATTTACCAAACGTCTTCTGCTTTCTGTGGTTCAGGCCTGCTGTTTACTAGCAGAAGCATTAAACAGACAGCCTAACTACTTTTCCTTTTGGACTTGGGAAATAAACAGGTGTTCAGGTTCCACAGGTTCTCTGCTGTCCACCCTAATGTACAAGAAATTGTGTGCTCCAGCATAAAAGGAAAAAAAAAGCAAGGATATGCTCAATTTGTGTATGATAAAATTGCTTTTGATTTTTTCAGAATTAAATCACAAAGCAGGATTCTTAAGGTAAAGGAACGAATGTCATAAGTGCTCATGCTGTTTAATTGTTTATAATATCAGTCATGCAGGTTGCAATTTTATCTCTGAGTAAGCATGCATAAAGTTGGCCAGAAATACAGTGGTGCCTTGCTTAACGAGGATAATCTGTTCCAGCGAAATCATTGTAGAGCGAAATCCTTGTTAAGCAAAATAAAAAATCCTATTGAAACGCATTAAAAACCAATGCGTTCCAATGGGCTGAATAACTCACTGTCCAGCGAAGATCCTCCATAGGGACGGCCATTTTCGGTGCCTGTAAAGCAAGGAATCCGTCCAAAAACACAGCAGGGAGCCATTTTCCACAGCGGGCGGCCATTTTAGAGCCGCCGATCAGCTGTTTTAAAAATGTCGTCTAGCGAAAAATCGGTTGCCGAAGCAGGGAACCAATCGTCGGGAAGCGAATTTTGCCCATTAAAACATCATTTTGCGTTCACTTTTGCGATCGCAAAACAGTCATCGTACAGCGGTTTTGTCGTTTAACGAGGTAATCGTTAAGTGAGACACCACTGTAAAGGCATTTTGGAAGTGTAATGACATGTTATGTGAAATGTAAGTCTGTATGGCAGAAAGAGAGAGATTTCCTTTTTCTCTCAAACAGCAGTATGGCTCAACTGTGTATACCTTTCAAATGTAATTCTAAGAAATGAAACAATTTCTTAGAACTGTTTATACTTTTCAAATGTAATTCTAAGAAATGAAACAACAAGCACACATTCTGAGGTAACTTTTCTTTTCACTATTATTGGGCTGATGAATAGGGTCTTGATTTTGCCATCAGATGTGTCTGTTTGTGTAATATTTAACTGTAAATAATTCAATAATGATTTAAATACTATAATTTAATTATGATTAAAATAAGCTATTTCATCAACTTACTTAAACGTTAATATTAAGCAACTAAGTAATTTAAGAGCTCTGAGAACACATTGCTCAAATCAGCTGGAGGCAGAATCGGACTGTACCTTCACTGTGAGAGAGCCAGGCTCAGATCCTTCCGCAGCCATGAAACACTGAGAAAGTGTTAAGAAGGTCACAATAATTTTATTAGTGCTTGCATTAGGTTTGTGTAACTTGCTATCATTGTAGCTAATGAACAAGGTGCAGGGGCACAGAAAATTCATGTACCTGGTTATGTACCAAATTGTGCAGTTAGGATGCATATTGAATCTTGTCAGTTAGCTGCAAGTTATGAAAACTTTACATAAACACCAGTAGGATTCTGATACAGGACTTCTGAAACATGTCTGTGCTGCAAAATGTTTAGTGGCTTTGATTTTTTGGGATCCTGACAAGAATGTGTAATGGAGAGAGTAGTTGTGTCAAAATCTCTGTGTATCTTTCAGGACAGGGAAATGATGAAAGTGGTCAACCTCAAACAGGCCCTCCTCCAGGCTTGGAAGGAAAGGTGGACAGATTACCAATGGGCTATAAATATGAAGAAGTTCTTCCCCAAGGGGACTACGTGGGACATCCTGAATCTAGCAGGTTTGGTTCATATTTTGTGCAGATCATAAGTGTTTCCTTGTAGGTTGCTGCTAAACTGTGTGATGTGTGTAGTTTTAATAGTATATACCACATTTTTCCATGTATAAGATGCTACTTTTTCTTAAAATCATTACACTAAAAATTGAGGGGCGTCTTATACACGGAAGTAAGTTGAGAACACAGGGCGAACAAAAATGCCTGTACCTTGCCTCTGCAAACAGGCTTGCTTCAGTTACAAGGCTTAGCTTCCTACAGTGAGGAGACTTTGCTTCTTCCAATCATGAGTCTTATGGAACTGACATCAGCAGATGCTGAACAAACCAATTGGAACACACCTTGTTGGAGGTGGAGCTTGTAGGATCAGATGCAACAGGGACTCGTAATGTCCTAGCATTCTGAGCCCAGAGGCTGAATACCCAAAGCTAAGTTTTCTTAACTTTTGAGTTAGACAAGTAGGGGTGCATGTCTTATAAACAGGAGTGTCTTATAAACAGAAAAATACGGTATGTGCTTGACGGTTGACAAAAGTGCACAGGCTACTGTTGAGGTTTTCAGTTCTTTATAAGTGCTGAATTAAATCTAGTTTAGTTGCTACAGGAGGATCCATCTGTGGTGTCAGATATTAGAAATTTTGCAGGCAGTGCTGGAGATGTGGTTTAGCTACCATTTCCACTTGTGAAAATAAATAATAGTTCTGTATTTTGATTAAAGTTCTATTGTCACTCTAGAGGATTCTGGCAAACAGATAGCTACAAATTATGAAACAGATAATTAAAATAATATGGTGTTTTAAAATAGAGTATTATAACTTTTTGAAACATCTCATGTCAACCCTTAATTGAAATGCTCCTAAAAGGAAGAGGAAGTTACTATCTCTTTATCTTGTGTATCTGGGCAGACAGTAGGACAGTAGGAGTGTCTGAATCCACAATGGAAGCATGTACAGTGGTGCCTTGCTTAACGGTTTTAATTGGTTCCAAAAAAAACATCGCTATGTGAAAACATACCCAAAGCTAAGTTTTCTTAACTTTTGAGTTAGACAAGTAGGGGTGCATGTCTTATAAACAGGAGTGTCTTATAAACAGAAAAATACGGTATGTGCTTGACGGTTGACAAAAGTGCACAGGCTGCTGTTGAGGTTTTCAGTTCTTTATAAGTGCTGAATTAAATCTAGTTTAGTTGCTACAGGAGGATCCATCTGTGGTGTCAGATATTAGAAATTTTGCAGGCAGTGCTGGAGATGTGGTTTAGCTACCATTTCCACTTGTGAAAATAAATAATAGTTCTGTATTTTGATTAAAGTTCTATTGTCACTCTAGAGGATTCTGGCAAACAGATAGCTACAAATTATGAAACAGATAATTAAAATAATATGGTGTTTTAAAATAGAGTATTATAACTTTTTGAAACATCTCATGTCAACCCTTAATTGAAATGCTCCTTCTAAAAGGAAGAGGAAGTTACTGTCTCTTTATCTTGTGTATCTGGGCAGACAATAGGACAGTAGGAGTGTCTGAATCCACAGTGGAAGCATGTATTCTGTAATTACAAAAAATAATCAGTTAAGTTGAACTCCCGAAAGAGTACAGTGCACCTGGAAATTCTGGATTTGTTACTTTGGAGACATAGGTTGGGAAGTATTTGTGCTTTCATCAGAAAAAATGGGCCAGAAATTTCTGAATTAACATTCCACGTAAATAGTCCCTGTCTCTGTCTTGAACATACTATTGCCTGTGGGATATGTACTCACTGTCAATATAGACTGCTATTGCCAATATAAGCTGCTAGTTTGCATTTATCTCCTCAAGTCTGAAGATATAAGGAGGCAAATAGATAGCAACGAAGGTTTTTGTAGCATGCAGTTTGGGTCTGCTTTCCTGTTGGAAAAGGAAGCTGATCCTGGTGCTTGCTGGGAATTCCACATATACAGTATTAATAAATGTTGTGTTTCCACTCTAATGTTAATTGCCTTAGTGTTCACATTCGTCTTTTTAAAAATAATCTTGTTTGAAAACCAAGACGACACCTTTATGGTAATGTTAGTATCTTTTTTGTATGGGAGAAGCTGTGGAATTTTAACTTTGGTCTTACAGAATGCCCTCTGTATGCAGATTTGAGGGATCAATATATTAAACCATTGACAACCAGAATGAAGAACATCTATACTTTTATTTCTGCTAGTTGACACAGGCTGCTATATATCTCATAGGACTGCTGCATTCATTAAACGAGCCATCGAAAGATGGAACCCATCGCCTGCTTCACAAGCTCTTTAAGTTACTCTTATAACTTGATACTTGTCTGAGAGTGCTTATTTTATTATATTATGCTTTTCTGATTGTTTATATGTATTCATTTTTGATGCTGAATACTATCTTTTAAAATGTGGTTTAACTTCTGTTTATACATATAGCCTGATTGGCTATGAAGCAATAAAATATTTGTATTTGTCTGTTAGAAGCTGTGGAATTTTAACTTTGGTCAGCACTTTTTAAAAGATTGTGAAGCTTTTAAGGCTGGAGTCTGTTCTGTTTAATTTTGTAACATACCATGTGGATTAATGATGGAATATAAACAGCAGTTATCATTATTAATACTCCTGCGTGACTGCTCTGGTTTCCCCTTTGAGCCTCAGTTGAAGCCGCTTAGTTCTTTGTTTAGACACAACGGTTTAGCAGCAACAGTTTCATAGCTGCAAAAGTTATGGAAACTAAACCCTCCAAAAGCTATAGATCATTATTAAAGTGGGTTGTGTTCTGGGTAGGTGCAGCAGTTGATTGGTGAACAGTCACGGAGTTGACAAGAATAACTCTTAATAACCATAGAAATGCAGTTAGTGGTAGTGCATGAAATGTTGAATTTTCCTTCTACAGTGGTTCCCAACCATGTGTCCTCAGATATTCTTGAACTACAACTCCCAGAAATCCTGGTCTGCACAGCTAGTGAGAAAGGCTCCTGGGAGTTTTAGTCCAAGACCATCTGGGGAACCTAAGTTTGGGAAGTAGATGTAGATGTGAAGGGATAAAGGCAGTGGGATTACAGGTTGTCTGAATGATTGCTAAGGCCAGCACCATTGTTAGACCTACCAGCCATTGACAGTGGAAATGCTTAATGCAAGGGTAGTTATCTTCAGGTCATCAAGGTGCTAATTTTCTTTACCCAAACCTCAATGCAGGCTTCAATACCGCTGAAAAGAGCCTCTCCCAAAAGATTGGGGAGGGGGATAAAGCAGGAAGTGAGCAGATATCCACTTCTGGTTTCAGGCTTTGCAGGGGATAAGGTTGAGATTTGGGGTGTGCATGTCAGAAAGAGGTTGAGTGCCAAACTGTTGCTTCAGAAGGCTCCAAGGAGCACTTTTCCCCTACACTTTTTTTATTTAGAAGTACTATGCAGTACAGTATAAGATCCCACAGAAAATCCCTTAGAGGCAAAAACTCTTAAAAATCCCACAAGGGTCTTTATATCTGTGAAGATTCTCAGTCATCCAGATGACCAAGATTTAATCATTTTGGACCAAGAAGATAGGTGGTTTGAGAGAGGGGTCAGGGAGGCCATATGTGGGCATATAAAAAATCCCTTACTCAACAGGGGTGGAGTCCTTAGATACGATCTGTCTCCTATTTATCATGCTGCCCTTTCATCCATCTCCAGAAAGATCAGGACCACACACACCAGAAAGACCACTGTTAACGACCCATGACAATTGGTGGAGGAGGACTGCAGAAGTGGGTTCTTCTCTTACCCCCAGCCCTTTGTGCATCTAATGAGCCTATTCAGATCAGGGGGAAGTGAAACCAGAGTGGAGGATGTATCAGGGGTCTCCTACCAACTCTCCTCAGACTGAAGAAGCTGCTTGGATGTGTAGCAAAACGTTTCAACCTAATAAGTCCAGTTGCCATGACACAATTTTCAAACCCACTAGGGGTTGTGTGCTGTATTAAAGGCTGAGAGTAGAATAATACCAGGTGCTATTTAAGCTTGCCCTCTAAATATTTAGTAGAGAACATGGCTGATTATGATAGTGTTTAATTCTTTAGATTGCCAGCTGCCTTCAGCAGAGGGCTTTTTTGCTGTATTTCTCAAGTTCTATTGGGTTTTGAAGTTTTGGAAACTGCATTTCTTAGGTGCTTTACGAATCTCGTATAACAGATTTCACAGAGGGCCTTCGGAAACATCATGGAAGCTGACAGTAGATGCAAGTTGGCAAATGGTCCCGTCTCACAGCAGGGGATGTTGACCTTCTGGAGGCCTTTATTGTGAAGTGGGTTGGGGAGGAGATATTTTGTGGATGAGAGAGAAACATATTTAAAGGAAGACTACAGAATAAGCCTGCCTTGAGGAAACCTCTGCCTGCTTCAATGTTTGTAGTCATTCAAATGGTTAATTAAAAGCTTGACTGAGCAGATAGGGCATGTGTTGCCCCTTCCTGGCTTACCAAATCCAGCAGGCTGGCAGGCTGCCACCAGGAAGTGCATGCCAGCAGTTGGCCGGCACTGTATTGACAGATTCTGTTTGCCATTCCTCTGAAGTCCTCCTCCCCACTGTCTTTGCTCCAGTCCTTAGAAGTGCTGCAACACACTGCTGGTTAGTAGAGATGGTAGCTGAGAAGCTTTCGGTACTATTTGAGGCTATGATGGTCATGTACGGTTTGTGTGCATTGACTGCAGCGCATCCTGTGCATGGGGTGGGGGGTGCTGGTGCCAGCAGTGTCCAGTTTGCTACCCAGAATTCTGTGTAGCACAATGTTTCTTTCCTGAAGTGTTAAGTTGTATGCTTCCAGAGGATGCAAAATCACAAGACCCTGGCAATGGCTGAGAGTGTCCCCAATTTGTGTGAGAACTTTGCAGGTCTCAGAATTGACTTTCATGTTGTCTTTGTGAGACCGTATACACACTTCCTAAATTTTATTTTGTCCCTTCTTTTTCTTTATTGTTTTACCACAGAAGCACTTCTTGAGCAAGCCATGATGGGCCCATCACCAAACCCACTGTTTCTGTCCTACCTGAAATATGCCATCAGCTCTCAGGTAATAATTTCACAGTAGGCCCTTTTATCTTCAGAATAAGTGTTAATGGTATAAAATCTTGCTCTCAGTTAGATGATTTAAATGCTTTAAAAATCCAATCCAAATCTAAGTCAGTTATAAAAACATTTGTGTGTGTGTGTCTGAAATGCTTTGCCAAATGGGTTTGTTTTTCTTGACGCATATAATTCTGCTCCTCTTTCTTTCTCTCTTTCATGATTTATTCTGTTTACCAAATTGCGAGGAATGTGCTGCTCTCAATACTGAGGCATCGCTTCCAAATGTCTGGCTTTTGAAATACCAGAAGATGTAAGCCCATCAGTTTTAAGGATATCTTTACAATCGTAAGGGCTCAGAACATATTTTTTTGAAGAAAAGTAAAATCTGTGACTCATAGGGAACAGAATTATATGCACCTTCAAAACTGCAGCACACACATTATTATTATATATGTGGGTTATTTATGGGTTGTTCAGACTATTGGAACAGCTAGAAATTAAAATGATGTTATTATTTGCAATTGAACAAAGCACAATAAACCATGAATTCAAAATACAGTACATTTAACAGCAGTTACTATCGTGTCTTCAGCTATAAAGAATATGTTTTGAATATCTGGTTTACCTTCTGCCAAGCAGATAGTGACGATGGATTGCCCTGTGTTGTTTTTCCAGTGCAAGAAAGACAAGGGGCATGTCCCCATCTTCCTTTGCTACAAGGATGCTATGAGGGCTCTCTCACTGAGAGAAGCTTTTGGGTTGCTTTTTAACTACACTTTTTTCCTTTTCTAGTTGCTCAGTATAAAGTTGGTGTGAAGCAAATATGCCATCACCTAAAAATGTCTGTTTAAATTTGTGCCAGACCAATGCTTAAGCAACAAGCTGCATTGCTGTTAAGTGACCTTGTCGCCCCCCATGGCGGTCGAAATGGCACAGCTTGTTTGTGGCTTTGTTTAAATGTTAGTTTTGGCTGGTAACCATGTCCCTCTCTCTTGTTTTGTTCATAGATGGTGTCCTATTCTACTGTTCTGATGGCCATCAGCAAGGTAATAGATCTCCTCCTCACCTAAACCTTGAATCATTGTTTTCTTTCCAAAAATAGTACACTATTTAGGCCACAGATTCATATATGCAGTGTAGACGGGTCGTAGAGTAGTGACCAGGTGAAATGGGATACAGACATGGGTAATAAACTCTTCATTGTTTTAAAGACAACAGCCTAAATGCTATGTACAGACAGACAATTTACATTAGCTAATTATCTGTTGCCAGGATGCTTATGTAATCAACACCTTGGCTGCTTATTGCCTGTATTGAGTGTTCTTGTCCCTTTGGAAGTCCATTGCTGGTTTCTTTATCCCACAGCATCTGGTCCCAGGCCTTCCAGCCATCTACACTGCATGTATAAACCTGTGGCCTAGATATTGCCCTCCATGTGTCTGAGGAAGAGGACTGCAATTCATGAAAGCTCATGGAGAAATAAATCTGGTAGCCTTAAAGGTGCCGCTGTACTTTGTTTTTTGTTTTGCATATGGTAACAAGGCTAAGATAGCTGCCTGTTAGAGAAACACTACAGGTTTGTGTGTGTGGGTGATTACTGGCAGATGTAACTACTGTTTTCACTTGGCGGTAGTATCATAATTCATGTCTCCTTGTTCATGTCTGCCTTTCCCATGCCCACTTTCCTAAATCTTGCATTAAAAAGAATGCATATATACTTCATAATTCAGAGGAAAATGAATTAAGAATAAGATAAAGAAGTGTCCATTTTCCATTTCACAGTCCGGAGTTATTTGTGAAATTGAGGGTTTGGAAGTGCAGACTCCTCCAGCTCTTTCTTATACTGAATTGGGGAGCAAGGGCCCTTGTTGGCTACTATTCTTAACCTTGACAGATAACCGTTCTGAATCCAGCCTTCCAGAGCCACAGTCATAGTAGTCTTGCTGAGCTATTCTGGAGATGCTTCTGTGTTTGACTGTGTGGAAACATCCTCTTTACTGCTGTGTTTCCAGTTCTCTTAGCTCAATGTAGGGTGGATGAAAGTCAGTCATTGAAAGTCAGCAGAAACCCAAAGAGTGACAAACAGAATTCATTTGGTCTAGCATCTCACACCTTGCATTTTATTTGGCAGCTGCTAAAGAATTGCAACATGGGCTTAGTCCAAAATATATACCATAGAGGGCTGTATGGACGACTCTTCATAGTGGTCTAGTCCACCTCCGCCTTACCCTTCTTCTGTATTTTGCACCAAGGCCAGTCAAAATTACTTCTGGATATCATTAGTTGAGAGACCTAAGGGTACAATTCAATCCAAACATGATGGAAATGCTTTTAGTGATTGAATGGATTTGACAGGTGATGTTCTGCCTGCTATGGATTGGGTTGCATCCAAGCAATAGGCTTGCACTGTGAGATTGCTCTTGTATCAAGCTTCCCCCCCCCCTTTTTTTGGATCCTTGAGTTGGGCCTGCGATGCAAGTGCCTTTCACTAGCTAAAGCTGGTTTATGGCTCTTATACAGAGAGAGTCTTACTGCAGTTCATTGTTTTCATAACTATGCTAGATGCACAAGGCATAACTTGAAGGACTGCACTTGAAGACCGTGCAGAAATGTCAGTTGGTTGAGAGTATAATAGATAGATAGTTAAGTGAAGACCATTGTTCGGAACAAATAGCGTCAGTTCTTTAAAAAAGCCTCTGCTGGCACATTAGCAGACTGATATTAACCATATACTGTTTGCCTTTCTTCCATTGAAGCCCAAGTAGTTCACATAGCCCATTTCATTCTCACAGAAAGCCTTTGAGATAGATCAGGCAGAGAGATGGTCATTAGCTGAAGGCCACCCATTCATCTTTGGTGCTGTGCAGAGATTTGAATCCAGGTTCCTGGATTCCTAGTCCAACACTGTAATCGCTACACTCTTGTGGCAGACCTGTGTTGGTTATCAGATGTGGTGGAAGTCCTGCTCTGTTGGCAGAGAGGAGCTTTACTGATGGGATAGTACTTTATCATAAAGATCCATCAGTATGCCCCCAGAAAATTCCATGAAATCGACATACTGCTGACAGTGTTTCCACTACCTGTAGGACCATTTGTGTTGGAGCAGCTTTGGATCCCAAACTTCCTGTTTTCCCGAACATATTCATTGATTAGGCCCATGAACTACACTTGTTCGGAACTGATATAAATCTTTTCTCTCCCATTGGCATCAATAGGGAAGAGAGTCTGGAATGAAAATATAAAACATAGGAAGAGGAAGCAAGAACGCCATGCACCACCTGAATCAAAGCAATTTAGAATTTAGGGAGTGAACCTGAACCGATCCTTGTATACACTTTAGATTATAAACTGTAGGCCTTGTGGATATAATTTAAATTCAAGGTAACTGGGCTAAAACCTAAACTGCTGTACATATCACAGAGAAAAAATATTCATAGAAATTTAGCACATTGGTAAGAGAAATCCTTTTCTTGCATCTAGTTTGCTAGTTCTCACTCGTTCTCTCTATCACTCACTCACTCTCGCACACACACACACACGCACACACACAGACACACACACAGAGAGAGAGAGAGAGGTAAATGTTCAGCTTAGATCAGGAAGAGTTGAAATCACCATTCTGTTGTAGACTGTGGAGCAACTGCATTTTGTGAATTCAGAACTGTTACCTACTTTCCCACATTATGCCAGTTCCTCTTGTGAGAAAAGTTTCTTACTTAATTCCACACTAAAGTCTAAGAAATTGGGATGTTTATCCTGAAGGAATGTTTACACAGTCCTGGGGCAATATAACATTATGCTTGTCTGGTGCTTGGATCCCTTTCTCCTATTAGGATCTTTGGCCCCCTTTTCCGTATTAGCTCTGTTAGCAGTGTATATGTATCGAGGTCACCACAACCATGCTTGGCCTTGTATCTTGCTTTGAAACTAGGGCTTCAGGCAAGTATAGAAACTCTGGCTAAAAATGTCAAGATTGTCATTAGTTTTGGTGCATGCATTAGTATTTACAGGAGTGGGAAATTGCAATGGGAACGGAAAGCCATGAACCTGGTGGTTGCTCCCAACTAAGCATTAGTATTTACAGGAGTGGGAAATTGCAGTGGGAACGGAAAGCCATGAACCTGGCGGTTGCTCCCAACTAAGGTTACATTTTTTGGAAATTGTACATTTGCACTTGTGCCCAGATTGTAAGACTCGGCTATGTCAGGAAAATGTAAGAGGAACAGATTTGGCTGCTGGTGACATTAGATGAAGCAGTGTCTTCTGAGGACAATTGGAATGTTGAACAGAGCACAGAGTATAGTGTGCATCACATCATAATACGTTTGTTGTTTTTCACATAGTACAGTAATCACATCCAAATAGAGTGTTGTCTTGCAGGAAGTATAGGACCATATGCTTTGTATTTTCTTTTATTACTCTTGAGACGATCTTTCTTGTTTTCATTTTCCCTCTTTCAGTTTGATGATTTTTCCCGAAATCTCTGTGTCCAGATGTTGCTCGAAATTATGGATATGTTTTGTGACCGGCTCAGGTGAGGAGCAAGTTGTGTCTTTTAAAAGTGGGTAGGTGGCATGATACAAGCCAAGGCAGATAGAAAGTAAACCTTGGTCAGACAGGGGACAGCTGAGGACCTGGCGGTTGTTAGGAGACATTGCTATCACATGGAAATAACAAACAAAAATGGAAATAATATTAACAGGTCAGTAAGGAAGAGTGAGCCATTACAGTAGTAACTCACTAGAGAACAAAACTATGCATTTTTGTCTCACTACCATACGAATATGTTCTAAGAACTATTGTGTGCTTTTCAATTAAAGCACCAAATTTGGCCCAGATTAGTATGTTATGCACAGATCTAGGTTTGGGACCATCATATATTTGCTCTCTGATGGGTGTGGAAGCTATCTTACAAAATTGTTAATAATGATTATTATTTTTCTGCAAAACCTCTCCTGTGGAATAGATGACACTTACAGATTTGCCAGATCTGATCTGTGTGGATCTTTATTTGACTTCAGGAAAGTGCTGCCCCTGTTCTGAAGTAAGAGCATATTAACACAAATGAGATGTGCCTTAATTATTAGGTGAACTGTAGTAAGCACTCCTGCTTTGTAAATTTAAAAGCCACCTGTGGACTTGGCAATTCTAGTTAAAAAGGCAAAAGGACTGGAGAAGATTGTAGCTGGCCCAATCCTGATGTAAGTAGGAACTGGGCCTCCACAGCAGTGGTGGTGGTAGGACTGGGCCGTGGGATGAAAGTCAATGGCTCAAGAGCCCCTGGAATGCTCCATATGATCATCTAGAGAGTGGCAGTGGATGAGGCAGCAAACATGGGCCCAATATGACTTCGGGCAGCATTCTTCATATTTTTGCAAACATTTTGTAATCAGTGGCTGCCCAGTGAGCATGAACATGGTTACAAATGCTCAGTTCATTATTTCTATGCTATGCATGCACATGTTTGTGTAATCCTTTTAAAAACAAGCAAAAAATGGTGCTTACTCCCAAACAAATGCTTAACATTAGGGCAGGAGAAGCAAATTCTACTTTATTCCTGTAGTCATGTTAGAGTGGTGGTTTCACTGTACAGAGGAGCTTTTTTCAAATTATGAGCAGGATTGGCTAGGGCTTTGTTGCTATATCAGGAACGTATGAGTTGTTGATAATCATTATAATTCAAAACTGGTAGCTAGATAATGTGCTGCAACATAGCAGAAAACCAAAGAATAATCTACTCAGCAATCTATGATAAGACTATACAGTGGTGCCTCACTTAACAAGCGCACCGTTTAACGACGAATCCACATAGCGATGCGGATTTTGCGATCGTTTTTGCGATCACATTGCAATGTTAATAGGTAAAACATCGCATTGCAATGATTGGTAAGCGTTTCGCTTACCGATCTTTGCATTGCGATGTTTTCAGAACAGCTGATCGGCGGTTCCAAAATGGCCGCTGGATGAAGAAAATGGCCGTCCGCAGCGTTTTCGCGCCGATTCCTCGCTTACCGAGGTGGCGAAAATGGCGGCCCTATGGAGGATTCCCGCTTAGCGGTGAGTTTACCCTCCATAGGAACGTATTAAACGGAGTTTAATGCGTTCCTATGGGGTTTTTTGCCCTGTATAGCGACGTTTCCAGATAGCCACGATTTATCCGGAACAGATTATCATCGCTATGCGGGGCACCACTGTAATTTAATTCCTTGCCTAGGGATCCCAGGCAGATACATACAGAGACACAAGAAAAGTATTAGTGCATTTTTAGGGTGCAGTTAGGTTAAAAAGATGGTACCTGAAGCAACAGTCCCTCTGATTTTTCCAGCAGTGCTGCACAGGGGCCCCACCTCACACGTGGGGGTCTGGCCATGACCAGAACCAAATGGGCGGCAACACTGGCTGCAGGTGCATGGCACCAACGGAGTGCTGTGTGGCCGTGCACCTGCACAGCTTAGAGGGAACAAACCTCTGGAATAAAAAGGGTAGTGACAACTGTGGGTGTTGAACTCCGGTGTTCTGGTATGGAATTATGATTACAAATGTTCTCTTCACAACCTTAAGGACTCCACATCTGCTTTTTAAAATGCCTAAAATAAAATCAAGAGCAAGAGAAACTGGGACTTGTCTACAATCCTGATTCTGTCCCCCCACCCCCAGGGGTGATCCACAGTCTTGCATGGAACTCATTTATCCGTGGTTTTATCTTTTGTTTCAATGAAGAAACCCTTTCATCCTCTCTTTCTAAAATCTGACGACATCTATGGTTTTAATGCCATTAGTCAAAAAACAAACAAACAGGTGAGTACACTGTTGTGGACTGAAATGTGAGGAAATAGGAAACCTCCCTTCAAATGAGAAAATAGAAACAATGAATATTAACCTGTCACCAGAATGCTGATAAACAGCTGTTCTCAGCCACATAGAAAGCCCTGTACTTAATCCTCTCCCTGGTTTATTCAATCTTCTGGTTTTTCATTTGATCGAAACCCTTCACATCTGGGATTATTTGTGCCGCTTGCAGTAGCGTGTATTCCATCAAAATGGTTTCTTCTTGAATCCTCATTTGTTTTGTGGGCCAGACAATTTTAATCATAAGCTTGGATAATTTTCCTTTTCCCTGTTTTAATTTGTTTAAACAAAGGGGAGTAATATGGTGATCATGAGTGTGCCAGTGTGTGTAGCAGTTCCACATTATGAGATCCTTGATTTCTTCCAATTGTAGATTTTTGTACCCTTTGCTGGTAAGAAAAATACCACAGTATCATGCTTCTTGTGTTTTCTGTGAACTACTGTAAGAAAGGAGTGGGCAGAGACTTTTTCTAGCCAAATGAGATTGAGTCTGGCCTCCTGCACTCTTTCTGCCCCCTTCTTGCTCCAGGTGTTGCTGTGTGTCGTCCACGGTATCCGGTTCAGTAAATAACACACATTATCTTGTGTTTTAGAGCAGTGGTCCCCAACCTTGGGCCTCCAGATGTTCTTGGACTTCAGCTCCCAGAAATCCTGGCCAGGAGAGGTGGTGGTGAAGGCTTCTGGGAGTTGTAGTGCAGGAACATCTGGAGGCCCAAGGTTGGGGACCACTGTTTTAGAGTACTTGAATCACTTTGTATACTTTGGGAAATTCAGATGATACAGTAGATCAAAATTCTTGCTATATGCTGCCCAGTCACTGCCTGTGCATGTGGAAAATCTTCTGTCTATTGATTGCTTAGTAGTCTGGCTACTTTGCCCCCAACAAACCAGGGAAATAATTTTACAGTTTGATATAAGGAATTCTGGATTACTGTGGAATATGCTTCCAACCTTAAAGGAATCCTTAAAACAGAAAATAGATAAGCATAGATTGTGCCTGCATGTTGCTCATAGGGAGACGGAAGCTGAAATACTGGATCAGCTTGCATGCAAAGGTTTTTCCAGATCCCTGCATGTTGTTCACCATTATTGTGTTGGTACCTGCTGCCCAGGTGAGAGCCTAAACCATGGAACATCTGGATCTGACATGAGTTGGTGCTGTGACTTGTTTCTCTGCCTTTTGAGGGGAGAAACAAGCCAGAGCATTACACCACCAACTCCTTCTGGGTTCAGTTGTCATGATAAACAAACCATGATTCAAAAGTCTTTGCTTGTTTCGCCATTCCTTGCAAGGGAGAAAGATTCGTCAACATTCACCAGAACACCAGCTTACCCTTGTCAAACCAGAATTCTTTTGAATTCTGCCTCATCATGGTATTTGAATGTACTCAGTGACTTTCCTAAGCTGTCTGACAAGTTTGTGGCATAGCTGGGGTTTAAACAAGGACTTCTTCACGAAACAGACTTCTGGCAGAGCAACACAGTCCCTGAAAAACCTGGCCTTCTTTGCTCTCGGCTGTTCAACTGGACACAGTTCTGTAGCTTTTAGTTTCTTCTGGGAGTGGAGGAAAAACTTGCAGTCTGCATTATATATACATTTCCGTTTGTTTCTTTGACTTCTGTTTCAGTGTTCAGTGTTTTTGTACAGGGCGTGCAGTTTACTTCTGTCTCCTCAGTTTGTGAGGGCCCTGTGTCCCTCAGGGACAGGAACCCTGCCTGTATCTCTTGTCTACTATTGCCAGGTTGCAGCAGTTCCTCTGAACAACTCAGATTTCCAGTTCCTTTTGTCTCCCTCTGTGTGGTAAACCACATCTTCGATAGGAAGAGCCCTTCGTTCATCTGGTCTCATCAGATTCTGTATTTCTGCTCCTTCACAACCCGAAGTGGAACATAAGTCTCAGTCTGCACTGGGATTTTTTATTTTTATTAGTTCACTCCAAGCTCTGCCCACGATCGATGAGACTCGGAGTGACAAATGAGGCATGGAAAATTGTTAGTGGGTAGTCCTGTAGCAAACCTCCTGGAAGATTTGGAATTTATTTATTTATTCAAAATATTTTTACCCCTCCTTTCTCCTTAAAACGATCCAAGGCAGCTCACACCATTAAAAAGACAATATTCAGAAGCTAAACACAGTAAGTATACAAATATTACAAACAAACAAACGGTTTGAACTAAAGAAGATACTTGTGTTTTTAGAGATGGCCAGTGTTGTCCTCTGCTTATTCTCCCTGTAGCTGCCATGGCAAGGCAGAAGAATGCATAGGCCTCTGCCGTGCCCTGATGAATGTCCTCAATTGGATGCTGCGCTGTGCTGCTTTCTATGTGGAGAAAATGAAGGAGCCACTGGAGCAGGGCGCCACTGAGAACCAGCTCAAGATGTGTCTGGACCGACTAGTGAAGATCATAGGCAGCACCAAGAACCGGGCCCTGATTCATATTGCCAGGCTGGAAGAGACATGTATGTGGCTAGTGCTTGTGTGGAAGAGAAAGAGAAGTATAGGGCTTTATTTGAAACCTGAATTTCAGTGCAGGTGCTTAGAACTCAGTCCCTTAATGAGCATTCTTCCAGATATACAGTTACTGGAGGATATTCACTGCGTTTCATCAGAACTTCCAATGTAGTTCTTTTCTTTTGCCTATATGAGTTAGCATCACTGTTTCCCTGCCAGGCAGGTTTACTGTTTTCTAGCTTGAGCTCTGCAGTAATTCCTGTGCTTTGTAAGCTTTAAGTTAGAAGTACAGTCGTGCCCCGCTTAACGATTACCCCACATTATGATGAATCTGCTTCACAACGATGTTTTTGCAATTGCAATTGCGATCGCAAAACAATGTTTTGAATTTTTTTTTCGCTTTGTAAAGATCATTTCCCTGCTTCGGGAACCGATTCTTTGCATTACGATGATCAAAACAGCTGATTGTTGGGTTTTCAAAATGGCCGCCGGGTGCTTAAAATGGCTCCCCGCTGTGCTTACGGATGGATTCCTCACTATACAGGCACTGAAAATGGCCGCCGTATGGAGGATCTTCGCTGGACGGTGAGATTTGAGCCCATTGGAATGCTCCATGACAAATCGAAAATGGCCGCCGTATTTCGCGATCGCTATTGCGATCGCAAAACAATGTTTAAATTGGGAAAATTTTCTTTATGGCGATCGGTTCCCTGCTTCGGGAACCGATTCTTCGCTAAACGATGATTTTAAAACAGCTGATCAGCGACTCTCAAAATGGCTCCCCGCTGTGCAAAATGGCTCCCCGCTGTGTTTAGGACGGATTCCTCGCTTAACAGGCGCCGGAAAATGGCTGCCGTATGGAGGATCTTCGCTGCACGATGAGGTATTTTGCCCGTTGGAACGCATTGAGCCAGTTTTCAATGCATTTCAATGGGTTTTTTACTTTCGCTTGACAAGGATTTCATTCTACAGCGATTTTGTTGGCACAGATTATCGTCGTCAAGTGAGTCACCACTGTATATGGTTTGTTATATTGTGCATTTTGGGTTAGCTCTGCCTGTTTCAAGGTGATTTTAGCTGAACTGAGGGATATGCCTGATTGAAATTTAAAATCCCTGCCTATATTCTCTAGCTTCCTGGAGCGCAGTTGAACAGTCCCTTGGCAAGCTGGGAGACAATTTGGGACACATTGGTAACAACCAGCTGCGGAACCAAGCAGAGGAGTGTATCAGCCTTGTCAAAAGGTGGGTAATTGGCACCTGTAGGATGAGGAATGAATAGTTTCTGCTTGGATACCGGATTTCAACATCTTCTTCCTTTCTCGTCCAATTTCTTGCACAGCATCCCCACTATGCTGTCTGTGCATTCAGAGCAGCTGAACAAAACTGGCTTCCCTACCATCCATGCTGTAGTGCTGCTGGAGGGGACCATGAACCTGACTGGAGAGCCACAACCTCTGGTGGAGCAGCTGATGATGGTTAAAAGAATGCAGGTATGGTTGGACAGAAGTGATGCTCTGTCTCATGGTCTCTGTCTTCCTGTGATCTCGTCTAAGAACTCATCACATAGCGCAGTTTCAAACTGTGACAAAGAATGGAATATTTCAGTGTTTTAATTTAGATAAAAACTCCCAGCATGTAACATATGAAGGGAAAGCTGATCTAGACATCTTCCTTGACATGTGGATTTTCTGTATGCAGAGCATATGTTAGTATGGTGAAGCATTCAGTTATGTGGTTCGCCGTACGCATGTGGAAGTTGTACGGTCTTAATATTCGTAGTTAGCTGTTTAACTACATCACGCCCCTTCTGCAGCACTCTCTACATGAGAATTAGAACCATGGGAATATTAACAAGAGCTTGATTAAAACTCTACATTTCATTGGATGGAAACCTGTACATTTCTTGTGTTGGTGGCTTCAGCTGATACTTTGGGGTTAGACAGAGAAGTGGAAAGTCTGCAATGAATGTGATGCCTCTAGATGACCTTTTCTGGAAAGTAATTACTGCATCTGTTATTCTGTTTCTTCCCAAACTTATAGCAAGGAGGTTGGCAACCAGAGTCTGGGGTTTCCCTTGACATTTCTCCATCTTCCTATTTCCCACTGTTTGCTTGTGGCTAATTGTGTTGGGAGATAAAGCAATTTCATCTTCTTAAGATGGGTCATACCTGCATGACAGTAAGATTTGAATCTGCCATTGGTCCCAAGCCTGCAGTATTAGGTGGATTTTAGGCTGTCTACAGTCACCCAGCATTGGTCAAGAGAGGGGAGTCAAGGGAGACTAGTAGGGAAGCTTGACCTGAGCTCTACCTTCTGATTTGCAACAAAGACAGTCCTGTTAGATAGAGCAAAGCAGCCAACTCAAGTAATAGATTTCTGGAAAGACAAAATGCATTAGTGACTTTCTGTGTTTTTACTACCAGGGAGATACAGAGAGGTGCTTGTAGGATTTTTTTGCCTTATGTGTTTCAGTAACTTGTGTGGGCCTTGTTAATGATTTATTATGATTTTGGAGAGGAGCAGTATTTGTTTATCTGCTGAGGAGGCAAAATACTTTTTGGCCAGCCCTGAATTAAGTCATAGTTTGGAAAAAACAGTCGCATTAAAAAAAACTGTGTGTGTGTGTTGTTGGTAAAAATACAATGCTAACATTTGGTAATCCATTTCTAGGGCACTTTATAACAGGGTGGATAAAAAATAAATGGCTGTGTGTGTGTGTTGTTGGTAAAAATACAATGCTAACATTTGGTAATCCATTTCTAGGGCACTTTATAACAGGGTGGATAAAAATAAATGTTTTTTTAAATAAAATAGATTTAAATCACAATTTAAATCAAAAAGTAATTTTTAAAAATTGCAATAATCAAAAATTAATAATTTTTAAAATTATTAAAATTTCAATTGTGATTTAAATCAATTTGATTTAAATCAAATCCACCCTGTTTTATAATCAAACAGAAAAAGCTCTCAGCATCAAGTTAAATAGCATTTTAGGTAAGAATAAGGATGTCTTTGCCTAGCAGGAAAAAGGCAATAGAGTGTCAGACGCCCTTTCTGGGAATGAATTTCATACTTAGAATGCCACTGTTCAGGAGACCTCTTTAGAAGTGAGTATAAAATACAGGGAGCTTGGCTGTGGTTATGGAATTGAAAAATTGAGAGGCCAAGTTACATTTTGTGAACAGTTTCTGGACAGGATTTGTAAAGAAATTGGGACTGGAATTTTGGAAAATGAGGACTACATATTGTCTCCAGTTGTGTCCATTAGGTTTGCAAGGGATTACAGGGCAGTACCTGACTTTAAAATAGCCATGCAGTAGTGGCGGATGTGTGTGTCACATGAAAGAGAGTAGCATGGCTTGTTCTTGGATGCATTTTTACATTATTCTTGCTGCTAGTAGAAGTCAGCAACCAAGTGCAGTTACAGTGTGTTGATCTTAAGAGAGTGGGTGTGTATATGTGTTTTGCATAAGAAACTGAGTAATGGTGGTATCAGACCGCTATCCGTTTAGCGATGGTTCCTCATAGCGACGATTAATCCGGAATGGATTAACGTCGCTATGTGGGTCACCACTGTATATGTGTTTTGCATCAGAAACTGAGTAATTGTGGTATCAGACCACTGTGAGTATGTCCTGGATCTCCTGCTCAGGTTTGTAGTGAAGGCTACAGCACCTTGTGATTGATTGATTGATTGATTGATTGATTTGCCCTGTGCTAGGTCTTGAGACATGTTTCCACTGTCTCTCTTCATCTGTGTCTCCCTAATAGCATATCCCATCCCAACTTTTCATTCTGGAAATCTGGAAAGCCTGTTTTGTGGGGCTCATTGAGTCTCCTGAAGGGACAGAGGAGCTGAAATGGACAGCTTTCACTTTCCTTAAGGTAAGATGCTCTTTAGCCTCTATGTCAGAGGGAGGCAGCTGAGCTCAGCCCTTTAGTAAGCTTTCCCCTCCTATCTTTTGAGTTTCCCAGCTTGCTGAAGAAAAGAGGATAAAGGAATTGTGGATGGGAAGATAGTGTTTTGATTCTGGAAGCTGTAGTCCAAAAATGTAATATTTCTAATTTTTGAAATTTCCATGATCAGTTTTTGACATCTTAAAGTAGGACTGAGAAAGATGTTTGTCCAAAGCCCTAGAGAATTACTGCCAGTCTTTGCTGACGGTGCTGATCTGGAGGTGTAGACATTTTTCTGTGTTCCTAATATACAGAGGTCCTTTTGCATCCTATCTCTGCCTGCATCATGCCTCTAACCTAAATGGAGTAAAGTGTTTCTCTGTCATGTTCATCGAGCACTGCCTCACCATAGCAATTTTGGTTTCATAGCTATTTGCTTTCCTCTGTCCTGTGTCAAGCTTTCTCATCTGTCACTTGCCATTGCGCAAAGATAGATATAGTTGGTGAACGTTCGTGTCACTGCAGCTAAGACTTGCTCTCATGTTTAGTCAAGACTGAGGTACTGTCTGAAACATCAACCCATAGCTGTTCTGAGTTTTGATTTCTCGGCTCACTGCAGTAGGGAACAGCTCTGAAAATGTCATGCCATTGCTTGGAGAACATTTAGATGACTGATGCTACTTTTTAGCTGAAAAAAACTCACTATGTTTCGAAGGTTCACCCACCTCTACCTTGCCGTTGCAAGGGCAATAAACATTACTTTACGAAGTACTTTATTTCATTCTGTTGCCATTTCATTCTCTTTCCATATGTCTGACAAAGTGGATGTATCCATGAAAGCTTACATTGAAATATAATAGTCTTTAAGGTGCCACATGATTTTGTCTTTTTTTGTTTTTGTTTGTTTGTTTGTTTGGACTTTGCCTGATATGCTCAGTGTGGATGTAGCCTAAGGAACTCCCTCATACTGTGCGTATTTCAGGAAAACAAGATATGAAATGGAGTTCATTGTCAGTCCCTGCAACTGGCAGGCAGCGTGAAGATTCTGAATTGACCAGTCTTGCTGGTCAATACGAGGACCAGCCTACTAGGACCCTGGTTTTTTTTTTTGCCCTTGCCATGACAATCGTGGAGTATGCCTTCTTGTCGCACTGTAGTCTCCAGCCCCAGCAATTCAGGGACTCTGGCCTGGAAAAAAAACACTGCTAATCTGAGTCACCTATGGCTCCTCTGAACACAGTTCAGCAGCAATATTTTAGAGATTAGAAATGTGTTTTAGAACAAAAAGGGAGAAAATACCAAAGTATTGCAGGATACATGTCAGGGGCCTTTTCCCATATGCTGTGGTGCAAACATTGCCTTGAGTAATATCATCATCATGATGATGGTTTTTGTAACTTCTTCCTTGGCATCAGTTTAAGTGCTGAACCCTATTACCTAATTTGGTGCTGATACCTCTATTTTAGTGACTCAAAGCACATATGAATCTTCCCAAACTTTTCTTCTATCTTTTTTACTTTCTGGCCAGTTGTACTTTGCAGAGCCCGAAGGAGTCTCTGCATTTAGCTCCCTAATTCCCACCCCTCCCCATGTAAACATAAGCCAGATGGCCCTGTCTTTCTTCTCCTTAGCTTTCTTGGTAAACATTCTCTGACGCTGCTAGATTCCCCAAAAGAGAGTCAATAAATTGCAATTTAGTATTCCCTGCCTGCACAACAAATCTCCACTGCAGTTCAAGTACATTGTGTAACCAATCATCCATACAGAGATGAATAAGCTAAGAAGTATGAAAGACGCAAGGACACGCACACATGCATACACACTCTGGAACAAGCTGGAATGTTCTAGAACAAAACAAAAGCTATAATAAGCAGTTAACCTCTGGAACTTACTGGCACATGGTAGTATGAAGGTGATGTCAGAGGTGTCTACTTCTCTTTGTTATTTTTGTCATAATTTGGTCTACAAAGGACTTCTGAGCTTATTTTCAAAACAAATTAAATTGAGAGAAGTACCCAGTTCTACCCAACCAAGAAGAGATTTAAATCCTGGTTGAAGCACTTTCAGATCTAACATTCTCCACCATATTAGTATATGTGCAAAGGTGTCTGTGGAAAAAATATGGCCAGTTTGTAACAGGGTATCATATGATAGGAACTACCAGCAGCAAGCAAATTGTTTGTGAATCTCTCCACAGCACTAGTTTGCCCTGCCCTTAGGAAGACTGCCTCGTGGTGTTCTGGGATTATGGCTGAATTCCAGTAGTAAGTCACAAGTGGAGCATTTAATTGCTTCTTAAACAGGAAGTGGTTGGCCTTTTCTGTCCAAAATCAGCCTGAGAGATTCTTCCATGGAGTCTTCTAGGCATGTAAACCGCCATTTTGTAGAGTAAGTGATACACACAGGATCTGAGAGAGCGAGCAAAAATGGTCGCTAGACCATTCAGAAGTTGCCTACCATGGTTAAGGAAGAGGAGGGGTTCTGCACAATTGGCGGCAGGGGAAATGAAAGGACAAGGGAACTCTAGCAGTCTTACACACCAGTGAGTCAGGAGGACAATGAGATGAATGTGGAAGTAACTCTGGTGGAAGGTCATGATTAAATTCTTCTTTTGCTCTGTTTAGATTCCACAAGTTCTGGTGAAACTGAAAAAATATCCACAAGGAGAAAAGGTAAAATGATGTCATGTTTCTTGTCAGAAGCTGCTAAATGTTATTAACAGGAGAAAATACAACTAAAATGAGTTTTCACAGTGTCGAACATGCATTTAAGACTGCTGGGATTAAAGATGATTTGCGGTTCAGGTAAATTTACGGAAGAAGTAAATTTCTATGATGAAATGAAACCTCCACTCAAGACCTCTGATTATTAGTTCATTTTATCTGGAAGAACACGAATGCAGGACTAGGGTGATACCTTGATTGAACCACTAAAAAATCAAATTGCAAGTTTTCATGGAGAAAATGCCATTTCATACTCATTTTACCAACCTCGGAAGGATAGAAGGCTGAGTCAACCTTGAGCCGGCTACCATGGAGAAAATGCCATTTCGTCTGACTGGGCACCACTCTTTCATGGATAGCGCAGAAAAATTGTAGGTGACAGTCCCACAAATTGATGACAGATGTCTATGCCAGGTCTGCCCATGTGAAGTGAGTTCAGACGTAGATTGCAAACATCATCTTGGGGGTGCTGTCTCAAGCACCATCCCTTGCAGCATGTTTGGAATTTTCCATCTCAAACTGTAGAGGAAGGGTTTGCTAATTACCATGTGACCACCCTCCCCGATGCACCAATACATTATCTCAGACCTGGGCAAAGTGCGGCCCAAGGGCCACATATGGCCCGCAAGCCACTCCTGTCTGGCCCACAGACAGTTTTGAACATCAAAACCATTTATAGCTTTTTGTGTAAAGTTGATCAGTTGCTTATCTTTAACATACCACAAAAAACCTCTTTAGTCTTTGTGAAGATTAACAAGTTTAAAATAAAAACAATCATAACATCACAGTTTCATTTTATTTTTAAGTAAAGTTGGTTCGCCCCCGAACCCAGTTCAGATTTTTCATGTGCCCTCCCCCTATAGAAATTAATTGCCCACCCTTGCATTACCTCCTTCTGAAATACAAAGTTTATTTTTGGCTGGGACACTAGTGGAAAAAGCAGCACAGAGACACAACAATTTCTGCCCTATAGAAATTAATTGCCCACCCCTACATTACCTCCTTCTTAAATACAAAGTTTATTTTTGGCTGGGACGCTGGTGGAGAAAGCAGCACAGAGACACAACAACTTCTATTAGATATTTGGGGTTTCCTAATTCTTATCTGGAAGAAAGGACACTGTATCCATTTTGCATTATTTGAGAGCTGCAGTGATATTGAGACACTGGGCATTGTTAAAAACAGAATACTGGGCTAGATGGATCATTTCAGTTGATCCAGAAAGGTAAGTCTTCTAACCGCCCTTTGACTGGAATCCTATTGCTTAGCTTAGTAAGTCACAACTAGTGTAAGTTCAGTGAATCAGTGGTGATTTGGTGAGTCCAGCTGCTCCGCAGGTTCCATTGAGAAAATGGGCCTGCTTTACTTTCATCTTATGACTCTGAGCAACAGGATGTCGGCCACTGAATGAATGGCCAATGTGGGATTTGAACTCATGGTTTCCCATGCATTCTAAAGTTTCATTATGGTAGTCTGTAAAGAACACATTGGATTAGAACAAATAAAACTCTGAGTTGAGCTTTCAGGGAATTCTCGCTTGCTTTTTATTTTACGATTTCTGTTCAGATTAGCACTACCTTTTTTTTTCCTTTTAAAATTTTCTTTTAATAGAGAAAACCCTGAATTTTATATAAAAACCGGAGGATGCCAGAAAGTCTTGCTTTCAAATGCACTAATCCTCTTCTAACCCTAATCAGCAAAGGCAGTTCTATAAAACCCAGACTCATATAAATCTCTTGGAAAGAGCAAGACATAAAAAAGTAATCCTTCAGCACGATAGTTCACATGTTTAGATCACCAAAACAAAGCAGTTAGCTCACATTGCACCCCAAAGAAAATGCTGGTGGTGGGAGTCATATTTGGGGTGTGATTGTTTTGCTGCACTATTGATGGGATTTTTTAAAGAAAAGGAAGAGCTGATTCTGTGAGCTGATCTCCACTGCATCTCACTTGGATGCAGTGTCTTAATCTGTTTTATAGAAACTGAAGGTGCATACTTTACAAACGTTTAAAAGAGAAAATATTGTACTCTTGTGCAATTGTAGGATTTTACAGACGATGTGAATTGTGCCTTTGAGTTCCTCTTGAAGCTGACACCACTGCTGGACAAAGCTGATCAACGATGCAAGTAGGTTTTCCTTTCCTTTAGCCCTTCAGATGGATGTGGCACAAGCAAGAGGCAGCTTTTTCATACTTAGAGTGAAAGCTGTTGCTGTTACTTTCACCCCTATGTTCTTCAGACTGTATTTGCAGCATCAGGTCTACACATGTGTGCATGCACGCACGCGCGCACACGTGCACACACACACACACACGTATGTGCCATTCCTTTACTTCTCAGGCTCTGCTCTCTACAGATTTAACCCTGAGATTCAGGAAAAGCCAAGAAGCCCAGTATGAAAACTGGTATGGCATTTTGAGAGCAAGCAAGTGCCAGTTTTTGACTGGGACAGAGGCAGCATGGAAAGATACCAGAATAGTGTAGTAATTCGAGAAGGCTTAGCAGAGTAGAGCAGGATTACAGGAGAAATAAGAGCTGAAGTGATTGAATACAATGGGAACCTAAGAGATGAGTCTGAGGGGACAGAATTCATGGATGATGGTTATTGAAACCACTATGCTGACGTGGGTGTTTCTGGTCATTTGGAAGTTTTGGCTGGTGCTCAAGCATACTTTTGAGGTGGGTGAGGAGATGACTTAATTTTCCAAAAGGGGCCTCTCTGAAGAACAGATGACTTCCTTTGCTATCCAAAGCGACTTTCGAAATTTTACTCCTTTATTCTCCACAGCTACATCCTGTTTTTGTCCACTGCTGTGCTGCCTGCCGCATTTGCTTGGCTTCTCCCATTCATTGTTCCTTTCATTTGATTTAATGATTTTATGCACTGAAAGGAAAGTATCTTGTCACGAGTAAGTGGGAGTTTCTGGTAGTGGCATGAGCCACAGAAGAAAATGGTAATAAGAAAATACTGCATCCCAAATTAGAGAACCTCTGCCCTGCCTTCTGCCTTTTATAATCCATCCTGGCTAGCCGTGGAGGAGGAGGATGGAGTTCCTAATTGCATCAGATCCTTTGGTGCTTCCACTTCAACCTCAGAGAGATACAGACAGAGAGGAGGAGAGATAAATGGAATAAATATCTGTATTTCACATAAAAATTATGTATCTTATAGACTACATAGTGTCTTTGTAGTCACTTTTTGAAAAGCTTAGTAATGTGTTTAATTAGGAATGTTATGATTCTTGTAACAAACTTGAGAAGCAAATGTATTATATATATTTTTGAACTATGTCCCCCTTCACCCAAAGCTGCTAACTGAAGTTAAACTATGAGTTAAACTTTACATGATCTGAGTACTTGAGCTGAATTCTGTGCCTGAATACCTAAGCTAATTTTAAAATGCCTGCCTGAACGGAAATGTTCTCCCAGATCTTCACTAACAAGAGCATGCCAACAAGCTAGTGCTACAACAGAGAAGGCCCTGATAACTCTGTTAGAAAGGTATGTCACCTGAAGATAGAGACCCTGAATAGAATCTCTTGAATTGATGAGGCTCAAATTGGGTTATATGTTATCTTAAATGTGTTGGAGAGAAAGGCACATACCTGCAACCCTCTGCTGATTTTTTGTTACTTGAGCAGAAGCTTGACTTTTGGATTGCTAAGGTGAAATCCTTTATAAAGTACTTTTTCTCAGGCTGGCCTCCACAGACAGCTGAAGTACAGAAGTTAGCACCATTTGTTATGAAATGAAGATTTTTCAAGGCAACTCTCTCCTTCACCAATTGCGTGGGATATCAGAGATAATTAAAACTAAGGAAGGGAGAAGAAAAACGGACAGCCTTGTAAGAGAGTCCCTCATGTCACAGATTTGCTGCTAACGTCAAAACTGGAACTGTTTGTTCTGCGTGATAGATAAATACCAAAACTCCCCACTGTGTATTGGTCTTGCATAAAATAGCATTTTAGATCAGTCAGGTCTAATTTAGACGTGACTGATCTAAAATGCTATTTTATGCAGACAAATTGAATTATGCACAATTTTAGGTCTGTCTCTACCTATGGTACCAATTGCTGGAAGCCACTGAGTGAACTTTTAAATAGCAATGGAGTGATAAGGGGTTTGTGTATGTGAGTGTATGTCATTATGAGCATCTTAGGGTTTTCTGTGTTGCTAGCTTTTTGTTTCCATTTGCTAAATGAAAATATTATTCACTACATGATATTCCCCTATCTGTTTTTTTTTAAAACTTGAATGGTTATGGGCACTCCTCCTGATTATAGCTATGCATAAATCAAATGACAACTTCAAAGGACAGCTCTTCAAAAAGGGGAGCATCTTAATAACTGCAGGTTAGGATGCTCCCCTTTTATCTCTTGACTTTAGCATTCCAATCCCCTATAATGAGAAGAACTTCTTTCTTTGGTATCAGTTCTAGAAGGTGTTATAAGTCTTCATAGAATTGGTCAATTTCAGCCTCTTCAGCATCAGTGGTTGGTGCATAAAATTGCTGTGATGTTGAAAGGTCTGCCTTGGATTCATATTGAAATCATTCTATCATTTTTGAGATTGTATCCCAGTACAGGTTTTCCCCCTCTTTTGTTGACTATGAGACCTACTCCATTTCTTCTACAGGATTTTTGCCCACAATAGTAGATATGGTAGTTGTCTGAATTGAATTCGCCCATTCCCGTCCATTTTAGTTCACTGACACCCAGGATGTCAATGTTTATTCTTGCCATCTCCTGTTTGACGACATCCAGCTTACCAAGGTTCACAGATCTTACATTCCAGCTTCCTATGCAGTATTTTTCTTTGCATCATTGGACTTTCATTTCATTTCCAGCCACATCCACAGCTGAGCGTCCTTTCGGCTTTGGCCCAACCACTTCATTAGCTCTGGAGCTACTTGTCCTTGTCCTCCACTCTTCCTCAGTAGCATGTTGGACACCTTCTGACCTGAGGGGCTCATCTTCCAGCGTCATATCTTTTAGCTTTTTTCTTTCTGTCCATGCAGTTTTCTTGGCAAATATACTGGAGTGGCTTGCCAGTTCCTGCTCCAGGTGGATCACATTTAGTCAAAACTCCCCACTATGACCTGTCCATCTTGGGTGTCCCTGCACGGCACAGCCCATAGCTTCTCTGAATTACCCAAGCCCCTTTGCCACGACAAGGCAGCAATCCATAAAGGGGGGGCATGTATAAATGTATAAACATTTGTCAGGTAGTTTCACTCTTGTGTCTGAAGAAGTAAACTTGAACCACAAACCATTAGGCATTGTTCAGTCTTGAGAGACTATGGTAATGTGCTGCATATGGAGGCCTTCACATCCTGCTTGCAGGTATCCTTGTATCGCAGTTGTAGTCTCCCTCTGGGGCGATTTCCCTGCACTAATTCTCCATACAGGAGATCTTTTGGAATCCAACCATCAGCCATTCTCATGACATGCCCAAGCCAACATAGACATCGCTGTTTCAGTAATGTATACATGCTAAAATTCCAGCTCATTCTAGGACTACTCTATTTGGAACTTTTTCCTGACAGGTGATACCAAAAATGTGTCGGAGACAACGGATATGGAATGTGTTCAGCTTCCTCTCCTGCTGTGCACAAAGGGTCCAGGACTCACTGCAGTACAGGAGTGTGCTCAGGACACAGGCTCTATACACCTGGATCTTGCAGCTGTCTCTCCTAATACTCTTAGAGACATTTCCTAGCCTATGTGCTTACGTATGTGCATGTCAGTCATTTCTGGCTAACCAAGAAAAAAAGCAACGTAAAGTGAATGAGGTCAAGTGTAAAATGGCAAGAGTGCAACAGTTTTCAGACATTCAAAACTCTCTCCGTTTGCAAACCAGAGCCTCTGTTTTATGCAGAACCTTTCAGGGCTACAGATTTGGCTTACTTTCATGCTAAACCTTCCAGGCAAATGTTATCTGCTATCTCTGATCAGGGATCAAGGCAAAAGACCCCCTCTGTCTGGATGGGGAATAGATGCTGGGATTAGGCTTGCTGGAAAAGGTTCTCCTCCCTGCTGCGGGTGAAGGGGGAAGCACAACCCTATCAGAAGATCTCAAACAATGTCCTTATAGAGGCCCGTAAGGAAATTTGGAGCATGTTGCTCTTGAGTCCCCCAAACCACAAAGATTTCTCCCGGGTTTCCAAACAGTTGATATCAATTGTATACACTCTAAATTTGTATTTTCCCTGCAGCTGTGAAAACTAGAGGCTCACATTCTTATTGAAAGGATATGCATTTTTCTTTCCAAGGCTCAAGGTGAAAATAAAAGTCATCAGTTTAAAATGGCATTATGAGAAAGCAACTTTAAATTTGAACAGTGCATTCTACAATAATAGAAGCCTGAAAGCTCAAAGGTCCACTGAAGGAAAGGCATTTTAAGAATGGATGTTTTCTGCAACTTCGGATTTCTAGATATACACCTTTTCTTTTACTTTAAGCTAGGTCTTCCATCCCCTTTTTAACTCACTGTGTACCATCTTGTGTTTTTTCTCTTAAATGTCTGGTAGGTGAATGCTCTCTATTTAGCCCATTCCCTTCTATATTTCTACACATGTTTTTCTTCTTGTTCCAGCTGTGACTGCACAAGCCTCCTCCTCCAGGAATGTAGCAAGCAGGGTCTGCTGTCTGAAGCTAACATGAACAACCTTGTAGCCAAACGGTACGTTTGTCTGGCTGTGTGTTAAAAAAGTGCAGCAACAGGGTGCAATGGGAAAACTACTACTAGTTTCTGATAGAGATGTGTGAGTTGCTGTTTGCAGACCTTATTTAAAGCATTTAGGAAGTTTCGGCATTTGGTCTGAGGAGTGAGCTAATTATGGGCTATCAAGTTGGAACCAACTTATGGAAACCCTAATAGGGCTTTCAAGGTAAATGACATATTTAAAGAGCAGCTGTACCAGTTCCACTCATCCAGTGAGTTTCCATGGCTGAGTGGGGATTTGAATCCTGGTCTCCAGATTCTTAGTCCATCACTCTCTCCATTGCACCACGCTGTGTGCCTGGTCTGAAGAGAAGAGAGAGGAAACACTTGGTTTTCTATTTTTCTGCAACCATGGGTAAATATAGACAAGCAGGTTACCTGCAGAAAGTGTGAGAGAATTTGCTTGTTTCTTAGATGCATGCTGAAGTAAGCAAGTACAGGTTGCTTTAACTAGATTTGCTATGCGAAAACTAAGGATAACTGTTGCTTGCAAACTTTTGAGATTACTGATATCTTTGTCAGGTATGATGTTGCAAAAAGCAGATGGGTGGGAAAGCTTGATGTTAAAAGCTATGTCATCTACATGCTCTTTTAGCATTAGCTTTGTCATATTAATATGAGGTTGAGAAGTAACAACAACGAGAACAACAACAGCATACATACTGCACCGATATTTAACAGATACTTAGAGTTTTGGTTAAAACTTGTATCTGTTATATAACACCAGTCAATGTTTTTATAATCTTGATTGATTGTGCCTGGTTTTTTTGAATAATAATAATTGCTGTTGTGGTGGTGGAGGTGGTGATGATAATGCAAAATATGTAACTTGCTGGCCTCTAAAAATGCATGGGAACATCAGGTAGAAAAAGTGTCAGAAAATGAGAAAGTCAAGATCTTGTGGGATTTCTTGATCCAAACTGGTAGACGCCTTGAACATAACACACCAGACATAGTTGTAATAGAATGAAGAAATGTCTGAATTATTAACATCGCAATTTCAGGAGATTCCAGAGTTGAAAATAAAGAATTGAAAAAATTAACAAAATACAGAGACCTGGCAGTCGAAACATCTTGCTTATGTATGAAACACACTTCTCAGGGTTTTTAACATCTTGCTTATGGATGAAACACACTTTTCAGGGTGTTTTTTTTAGGTTGGCAGTACTCAGAAGTGGTTTACCATTCCTTTCTCATGGTGTCATTCTGATAATGTGCAGTTTGCCCAAGGTCAGTACTCAGAAGTGGTTTACCTCTCCCTTCTCATGGTGTCATTCTGATAATATGCAGCTTGCCCAAGGTCTCATAGGCTGGTGGTTCTGGGATTTACAGTGGAGCATTGAACTCCCAACCTCTGGCTCCACAGACAGATACTTAACTCACTGAGCTATCCAACCAGCTGAAGTGGAGACATATCAGTATTGAATTAGCTGCAATGTTTCAGCACTATGTCCAAGTTACTTATTTAGGGACATGCCTGGTTTTTACTGTCCTAAAAGTATACTCATCTTAATAACAGTATTGTTTCAAAGATGTTGATAAAACTTCTCTTCTCCTCTTTGGAAGAGTTATCTTTCTCTTGCGAAAAGCATTTAGCTTTTAAGGAAGAAGATTGCATTCCATTAAGCCTGTGAAGTCATCCCTCACGTTGCTTTTAAGCCTGTGAAGCCATCAATTGTATTTAATTTCACATCTTATCCAAATAAAGCACATATCCCCCTGCATCCAGCCTCTTCATCACACAAAACACACTGAATTGTAATTTCAAATATATGGTTACAGTTCTTCACTTAACAGATAAACCCTCAGATACCCTTTAGTAACCTGGCCACTGTGGGGTTTAATTTATTTAACCCACCATGGGGTTAAAACTACAATCTTATGTTTTTCTTTGTCCAGCTTCCTTCAGTTGTTGTCCATTGTATCCCAGGCATAAATATCCAGAAGATGGGAGGTTAATAAATCACTAAGGTTCCTGAATAAAATATCCCCCTCTCTCTCTCTCTCTCTCTCTCTCTCTCTCTCTCACACACACACACACACACACACACACACACACACACACATTTAAAAATCATGGTATTTGTAATAGATGTGTAAATTTTTTAAATGTATATTCCTGTGGAGTATTAGCAGGAAGTTCATTAAAAGACAGTTCTAGCTGTGAATTGAAGCACTTGAAGCAGTGGTTCCCAACCTTGGCTAACCCAGGTATTCTTGCACTGCAATTCCCAGAAGCCATCACCACTAGCTGTGCTGGCCAGGGTTTCTTGGAATTGCAGTCCAAGAGCATCTGATTTACCCAAGGCTGAGAATCACGGACTTAGAGGAATCTCTTTCCCACACTGTCATTGTTATAGATTGCTCATATAGACAACCATATTATCAAGTGATGGCTGGAATCCAGCTGAAAAATTATTCCTGAAGGATTCCATTGGTGTAAATTTCAGCAGTGAATTAATGCAAGTTAAGAGGTCAGGATAGGCATTCGCTGTCAATTGCTGAATCATGCAACTGCCGCATGACAGCAAATGGCTATATTGACTTATTTATTTGTGTCAGTCTGCCACTGAGATTTATGCTGATGGATTTATACCAGTGATATATGTCAGTAATCGGATTCTGACCAGTAAGTGGGGAAGCCTTACCACAGAATGAACTTTTCATGTTTCCTATCACATATTGGAACATGTGGCAGAAAAGAATTGTTTCACATTTTCATTAACATGCAGAACCACATAGATCCATAATTAAAAACAACAGCAACACCCTTCATCCTTGGCAGATTATTCTTATCAGTTACCATCATGGAATCTGCAATTTCATATTTGTTGTGTTTGAAGTTGAAATAGGCAAAAATTATTTGGTAGAAATACACAGATAATCTGGATTTAATGTTAGGAACTACAGGTCCTTGGACAATTTTAAGTGTTCTGTCTCTAATTTTCTTAAATTTTCATCAGAATTGTGGTTGTGTATGCATGTCTGGTGGTGAGTGGTTGTTACAATAAGGTGTTCTATTCCAATTAAGGCATTTTACATGCTCTCATGGCAAGTATACATTTTTTCTCCTACCTCGTCCAGGACCGCTGATCGAGAACATGCACCACGCTTAAAATCTGCTGAAAATGCCAACATTCAGCCTAACCCAGGTCTTATCCTACGAGCTGAGCCCACTGTCACCAATATCCTAAAAGTAGGTCCTGTTTGGATGAAATCCTGATTTCAGAAAAATACTTATTTTAGCATAGAATTTTATCTTTTACTGCTACGAAGCTTGTAATTCTATCTATATTTACTTGGGAGTAGGTTCCCTTGAATTCTGTGATCCTTATTCTGAGTAGACATGCTTGGGATTGTGGTGTAGAAGCTCTATGTTTGGCTTTATTCTTCCTTCAGGAACCACTTTCTGTCTTCACAGCATTATTGTGAGACTTAATTCCATGACTAAAAAGTGAGCGTCAAGGCTGAGGGGTGAAACTGGGCTAAATTTATTAAAGAAACCTATCCCCAAAACTGGGCTGAATAGAGTGTTAGACATCTTGAACACCACAAGTGTGAAGATTATGCGGAAGTGAACAGCGCTGTCCTCTGGTACACATCAAAAAGGTCACAATGTACATCTGAAGGGATGGAAAGGCCCAGAAGGTCATCATATGTACCCTTCTGCCTTTGGGCAGGATCCCCCTATGCATTGGCTCTCCATTGATTAAGCCACATAGACTCCTGACCCAAGCATGCTACAAAATGTGACTTTTATGCCCTGGACCCATTTCAGTCAGGGTTCAGGCTGCGCCACGGTACGGAAACTGCACTGGTCGCACTGTTGGATGACCTGTTAAGGGAGGCTGACAGGGTCAATATGTCCGCGTTGGTCCTCCTCAACATTTCAGCGGCCTTTGATACCGTCGACCATGGTATCCTCCTGGGGAGGCTCTCAGAGTTAGGAATCGGTGGACAGGCACTTGCCTGGTTCCGATCCTTCTTGGAGGACCGCCCTCAGCGAGTTCAGCTTGAAAAGAGTGCTTCGGCCCCATGGAATCTCAACTGTGGGGTTCCGCAGGGTTCGATCATCTCTCAAATGCTGTTTGACTTATGTATGAGGCCGCTGGAATGGGTCATCAGGGGGTGTGGGGCTTCGTGCCATCAGTACGTTGATGACACCCAGCTCTACATCTCTTTTTCACCTTCCTCAGTGGATGCCGTCCTGTCCCTTGAGCGCTGCCTGGAGGCTGTACTGTGATGGATGCAGGAGAATGGGATGAGGCTGAACCCAGGCAAGACAGAAGTCCTGAGGGTGGGTGGCCCCTCCATTTGCAGTTTGGAAAACTCCCTCTCTTTTGGGGGGTTGACTCTCACCGCAAAGAGTGAGGTTTGCAGCTTGGGAGTACATCTGGACCCGGCGCTCATGATGGAGACCCAGGTGGCGTCAGTGGTCCACTCCACCTATTTCCAGCTGCGGATGATAGCCCATCTGTGTCCCTATCTTGATGTTGGGGCACTCACCAATCTGGTCCATCTCGAGATTAGACCACTGTAATGCACTCTACGTGTGGCTACTTTTGAGGTTTTTGCGGAAACTTCAAATGGTGCAAAATGCAGTGGCCAGACTTCTCACTGGGATGAGAAAATACCAGCATATCACTCCCACCCTGGCTGCCTTGCACTGGCTTCCCATTCGTTTCTGCATCCACTTCAAAGTGTTAATGATGACTTATAAAGCCCTAAACGGTTTAGAACCTCGATACATGGTAGATGCCTTCTCCCACCTAGATCTACCCGAGTCACTCATTCTAGAGGGGCCTAATGCCAAGAGAGGCCCGGAAAGAAAGAACAAGAAACCGGGCCTTCTCGGCAGTGGCCCCTCGACGATGGAACACCTTGCCGTTGGAAATCACCCTGGCACCCTCGCTGGGTGTTTTTAAGAGTCATTTAAAGACTTGGCTCTTTAGGCAGACCTTCCCTCCAGTCAACACTTGATTCTTTTCTTCTTTAGTTTTCCTTTTTCTCCATCTTGGACTTCTAAATGTGTTGATTTAATTATGTGATTGTTTTATGATGATTATTTTTATGATGTTTTATAACTGTTTGTAAGCCGCCCCGAACAGACTCTGTCTAGAGGGGCGGGGGAGAAATCAAATAATAAATAAATTTTAGAGCCTAAGAACAAAGTTAAGGATAAGCAGAAACAGATGCTAAGTAGTGAATTGTTACAACACATTAGCAAAAGTAAAAGAAAATTGGTCCCCGATGTTTCTGATGCCAGTGTGAAATTTCACTGGAAAAGAAGAGTGCTCTGTGTGGGAGGCTGAGTTCTGTGCTTTCCAAATGCTTGCAGATACGAATAGCCATCTAGTTAAAGCACAACAAACTGCTCTCTTTTTACACATATTTTCATGGTTTGTACTCTGCTGGCTACCAGTCAAGAACCTTAAACATTTCTTCACTATCCCCAGACAATGGATTCAGATCACTCGAAATCTCCAGAAGGATTGCTGGGTGTCTTGGGACATATGCTGTCTGGGAAGAGTTTGGATTTATTGTTGGCAGCAGCAGCAGCTACAGGAAAGCTGAAGTCTTTTGCACGGAAATTTATCAAGTGAGTGTGTGTGTGTATGAGTGAGAGAGAGAGAGAGAGACGGAGAGAGAGAAGAGGGTGAGAATTCCACCTCCCTTCAGATGTAGCAACTGGATTTCTCAATAAGATGTGAAACAACAATATGATCAAGCTTATGTGTTCTTCCGCCTCAGTCCACAGGACAAAACTTGCCACTTTTTGTTCTTGTTGCGCTAAACAAGAAGCAAACTGATTGTTGCAAAGCTGCCTTTATCCTCTGTCTGTTCAAAACTATGGAATGGGGTATTATGCTGTTGCCATTCAAAAGAGTCTTAAAGTGTGCTCTTGTAGAGGGGAAATGTAGCTAAGGATGCATTGGCTGAGTGTGTTGAAAACCCTGTTGACTACCAATCTATGTAGGGCATAGGCTGTAGGGAGGTGGAAGCCTGCACCTTCTTTTTCAGACTGCAGTAAGTGGAGGAACTGAAGAAGACTGGAGGTTGTGGAGCAAAGCACTTCCAGTCAATAGTGACTTAAATTGCATAGCAAGCTACCAATTACTGTACCTTTATCCTTGCATTTATTTCCACTATCACCGCCCCAGATCCCTTGAGCAGGTTAGTAGAATTCCCATTTCGTCAATGGGGAAATCTGGGTGTGAGAGTGGTATGGTTTGGACAATCAGATGCTGGCTTAGGAAGCTAAGATAAGGCATGATCTCCACATAAGCTCTCCATTCTCACCTTGTTCTTCCCTTTGTTTAAGAAAGCAAACGAGTGTGCCAATAACCGAAGGTTTCTGCTACCTCGAAGACTGTAACTAATAGCTCCCAGAAAGGCAGGATGTCATATAACACTAGCTTCCATGTAATGGCTTGTTTGGATGTGATTAATCATAGTTCCCAGTCTGGACGTTACAGGAAGCATGGTTAGTTCTGGTTTTCCAGCTTGTTTGTTTGCTCATTTGAAGGGATGAGAGAAGCAAAAACAAAGAAAACTTTTTGTGGCTTAATAAACCACCTTTGACAGCCTGGCCAGATCCAATGAAGTATTGGCTCAAGCCAAAGAGGTATTTTAGGATAGACTTGGTAAGAACAGGAGCATCAGGTTGCCACTGAAAAGCAGATGGCCCTTTTTATCATCATCTTTGCCGCTTGGCTAAAAATAAGGTTTGGTAGCAATACTGTATAGGTAGCTTCTACCTTCCTGCAGTGGCAGTGAGAGAAATAGATGGGGCAGGGAATCTAGCAAGACGGCAAGATCATTTTCTTTGTCTTCCATCTTATGGGGGAAGAACGCATGCTTTCAGTGCTCGTTAGGCAGCCTCTCTGATATTTAGCTCTGTAGCCTTAAATCCAGTCTTCAATTCTCTTGTGCAAGGTCTGCTGTCCATTGATAATAAAACACAGACACTACATAAATCTTAGTCCCAGATTTAGTTGTTTTTCTCATTCTTGCCCAAGAGGAAAAAACTAGCCTCTTGCTTCTGTTCTTTTTCTCCCCGTCTCCTCCCACCAGTTCCAGCTAAAGCTGCTGCGTCTTTTCTAAACCCATTTGGGTCTTTGCTTCAGTTAAGGGATGCCTAGATAGCCACTTGTGCAGCTATTAAACCTCTCTCATAAGTGGCTTATTTACAGCCGTGCTTCTGCCTTGTTATTTTTTGAGCAAACCAAGGAAGACAGGAGCCTCTTCTTCCACCCTCTGTTAAAAGCAAGCTTAACTTTTGTAGTGGAAAGGCAGATTTTGGTATGGCACCTAGAAGAGGGAATGGCAGAGGAGTTGCTGACTATTTTTAAAGCCATGTTATGCTGTATTTCTGTCATAGAATTCTAGTCTAAATACATTCAGTCCCCCATACAGGCTGCAAACATGAGAAGCGATGTGCGTAGTGTAGCTATACCATGTGTATTCCCCAAAGGGGATCCTGAAAATGTGCAATTGCTTCTGAGTATAGAATTTGACATGTTGTGTGAATTTGTGAAGTTTGTAAGCAGTGCTTGGTGGTCTGCATGGTAGTCCATCACGTAGTGAGGCTGGGCAGTGACACCAGAAGCAGCAGTTTGAAACAGAGGCTGAAAGCCTAGTATGTCACCACTAGAGTAGGCCCAATCGAATCAGTGGAACTTATGGAGGAGCTGACTCACTAAATCCCCACTTACTATACTAAGCAACAGTATTTTAGCCAGGGTACACATTTGACTACATGTTAACAAATGAAACTCTGAGTGATTGGATTGTGTTATGGGAATTAGGTTAGGTTTGTTAGTTGATGATTAGGGAATATGGTAGCACCGCATATTGGATGCCTTGCATTTAACCCTAATACATCTCCTTTTATGGGAGCAGCCCATGGATTTAGAAGGAAAAAAATGGGGTTTGGGGAGCCAGACTAAGAGAGGAAGAATGGAGACAGGGATTAGCTAGGAAGTTTTTGTCTGGATCAGTTTAGATCAAAGAGCAGAGGATCAACTGCACTGGAGCTGGGCCCAAATTCAGGCCCTATTTAGGTGGTGCTTTCAAGTCTGGGCCCATCACAACCTCTAAGCTATGGTTTTTTCATTGCCCATAAAATGAGAGTAATTGCAATCTATCTTGAGATTACCTTCCATTTTGCACATGTGGTTCAAAAACTGGTTCTAATCTCCAAGGACATGAATTCATCCTTCACTGTTTTCCCCTCCCTCTTCATTTCCAATGTCTTTTCATTTTAGGCTCAATGAATTTACCAAGCACATCACTGGCGAAGGATGTAAGTCTGTTTTTTTGCAGCATTTTGCGAGGGTGGGCGGGGAAATCAAGTATTGCAGTAACGCTCTTTTGAGACACTAGACTTTTGTGGGTTAATTTGAAGAAGCGGGGTGGGGGCATGTTCTGGGGAAAACTGAAAGTGAGCCATGGTGCCTGGCAGCGTAGGCAGCACCAGCACCACATTCTTGATGCAACAAGGGGGGTATTCAAGTTGTTACTGGGGTCTCTTTGTCTTTTTGGTTACCACGTGGATCCTCCATCCCTTCCTCCCCCCATTCCCCTGAGAATAGTTACTTTGTACTATTGGGTGGGGATCTCAACCCTGGAAGAAAAAGGGTTAACCTGCAGCTGTGATTTTGCGCTTGTTCTTCAGTCTTTTTTCCTCCTCGGCCCCTTCTTTCACAACAGAGTCCTTAGCCTCCAAGTACCAATTTAGTTCAAGTCCTTTGGATGGAGTGATGTGCGAGTCCCACTCATCCCAAGATAAGGATTCTGAATATGTCTGCATGTGATTAAAAACACCAAGGCTCTCTGACCTTCCACTGGACTAATAGGAAAAGCCGCTCCCAATTGTTGAGAGTTTGTTTTCCCATCATTTTTTGATATGTACGCATTGTTTTAAAACTGTTCATTATCACAATCACCCCTGCAAAAATTTGATAGGAACTAGAAAGAGGGTGTCGAAGAGAATCTCATCTAGGCCACATGGGAAGACCTTTCATGGTGCACATCGCTGTGTTCCATGCGCACTCTGTACACACAGTAATCTGATGTACATTGCGAGAAGGACACTAAATGATGCCGATGGATGCAAGGTTTGACTAAATCTACACAGTTAAGGTGAGAGGAGAGAAAGAGAGAAAAGAAACCAGGTGTACAATCTTGTAAAGCAGTGGCTGCCTCCAGAGTTTGTTGTAGGAGGTTTAATTAGGAGACGCAAGTTTCAGATTTGGCTTTTATCTGTGCAAAACACTGGTTGTTAGAGAAGCAGGTGTGATGGAAGAAGCATAGGGCACCCACAGTTGTGGTTATGACACTCCTTTGTGGTGGTGTTAGAATGAATTAGATAACAGTTGTAGGATAATTCTTGTATGTCAGACATTAGGGATGGTTATAATATAAAAGATATTTCTCTCCTTTTGTTATGTGAGCTAATTGTTCTGGATTCCACCCTCCCACCCACTCCCAGCCAAAGCAGCTTCAGTCAGAGCACTTCTCTTCGACATCTCCTTCCTCATGCTGTGTCATGTCGCCCAGACCTACGGCTCTGAGGTAAGGACTTTCTAGCTTCGGTACTGCAGGGTGAAGGGAAATATAAGCAGTGAGAGAACGATGCTCGGACATATAAATGGACAGAGTACATCTTCCCTGTTCTTTCCTTCTGTGCTAAATGTACGTGTCTTTTCTTCAGCCATAATCTTACTGCTATGGCCTGACTTTCAAACCAGGTTTCAGGCACTGGAAACTTCACAGCTTTGGTAGAAAAGGGTATGCTAAAGGTTCAAATAAAGTAAAATAAAAATAAAAAAGCTGCTTTAGTCCAGTGCTGTCTGTGTCTTAGATTGTGAATTTGCACAGCTTTCTATATGACATTTCTTGGAAATGGAAGTAGCAGGTAAAATATTGCAACAGCGATAACAGGAACAGTGATAATGTTAAAGCAACAACAATAAGTATTTGCATAGTATTTTTAAGTGTTCACAGTTATTCATGTGTATTATATAGTTCAACTTTACACAGATTTATAAGATATTTTAAGAGGATGTTGAAGGCCAAACTTTTAAAAGAAGCATTTAAAGACATCCCGCCCTACCATGATAGTTACAGATTTGGGTCACCTGTCTTACCATCATTTGGGTTTCTTGTCTTTGATTTAATTTTTATGGTATTAGTGACAGGTAAGAGGGATCATAAAAGGAAGTTGCTGGCCCAACTGGTGCCTTGACATTTTCTGCTAGGGAGGAGAAAACTGGTTTTGGAGACCAGGAACACAAGGAAGTGTGGAAAACTACATTTAGGTCCTTCCTCTGCTATTGCCTTACTATGTGTCCCTAAGCAAGTCACTTACCTCATTAGCCACCTGTCTCTATATTGAATATGAGATAAGTTTATTTCCTGCTACCATAATCACAGAGAAGATAGTTAAACACATGCTTTTAAAATGCTATTGACCTGTAGTGACTGAGAATTGCCTTCAAACAAAGCATGGAAGCATTTGTAAATTGGAATAAAATGGGTTTTCCTTGTCCATTGATATGCCTGTATAACTTATACTGGCATACACTAGAAAGGAAACTAATACAATATTCCTTTAGCCAATGGCTTGATGGATTCTTCTTCCAGAACTCATGTGGCACTTCTAGTAACTGTTGCAGAAACTGCATAGTTAGTAGGCGTGGTCTAATTGTAATCCCAACTAGAATTGTCTCATTGAAATCAGTTGGACATTTATTAATGTTAATGTCTCATTCATTTCAATGGCTTCACTCCAGTTGGAACTTGGATTTGACCCTTCAATATTTCTGGATTACATTTGCAAACAAATTGTGGAAGAAGCATCCAATTCTACAGCAATGTTACTGTTGATATGTGCTGTCAAATTGGAGCTTACTTATAATGGCCCTAATAATGCTGTACAGTTAAATAAGATATTTAAGGAATGGTTTTACTAGTTCCGCACCCCCAGTCAGTTTCCATGGCAGAATGAGAATTTCAACCCAGGCTTCTGAAGTCTTAGTCTGTCACTCTAGCCAATCCACCAGGCTGGATATGTCATAGAAATGTAGCTATTATAAATATGAAAAACAATATAGACAATCCAAACTGCAAAAAAATAATTTTTTTCAGGCCAAAGTTTCAACAAATGACTTAATTGCTTCATATATTTCACCTCAAAATTACTGTGGCAACTTTTCCCTCCTTTCAGAAAGCTTGTTAAGGCAGAACTTTATAAGGAGGCCTTCAAAAATATGTTTCCTCTGAAATAGGAATTTACTATTTTTCATTTTTGATCTTTTATTTTAAGTTGCCACATGGTTTTGTTGCTGATTGCTGCTGTGTTTATATTATTCTGCTACTTATTACTGTTGCTGGGGGTATGAGGATGCTGTTGTGAGTTTAATTTCCTTTGTGTTTATCAGACAGAGTAGTAGATTTGTACCAAGTTGGGTGGTATATAAATCTAATCAATCAATTAAAAAAAATAGGAAGATCCAAGTGTATTACTGAATCTCCAGTTCCCAAGCTGGATGAATTTTCCTTTCCTCCAGCATATTATTTACAGAATCTTGTAGTGTTGTAAAAGAGTGCATCCAGGGTTACTATTTGATTAACCAGCTACACACTAGGGGGTGCTCTTGTATTATTAGCCTGTGATTCCCCAGTGAGCATCTTTTGGTGACCTGTCTTTCAGGTGATTCTTTCAGAAGCTGGCCCCCCTGGAGAAGTGCCCTTCTTTGAGATTTGGATGCAAAACTGCATGCCAGAAGAAGGGAAGATTCTCAACCCTGACCACCCTTGCTTCCGGCCAGATTCCACCAAGGTGGAGTCGCTAGTTGCTTTGCTCAACAATTCCTCTGAAATGAAGTTGGTGTAAGTAGCTGTACCACTCTGGTGGATTCAATAAGCACTTGTATTGCAGGAAGGAGCAAATTGTTTCTGGATTCTGAAGTCTCCTGCATTGCCATATGTTCAAGCAGGCTTCTGGTTTTCTGACAGAAAATACATGAGGCTGTACCAATAGGACTTGACTTCTGTGTTGTGGCAATTTGCAATAGTCCATATAAGTGTTTCCCAACCTAGGGTTTTTTAGACTGCAACTCCCAGAAGCCTTCATCACTAACAGTGCTGGCCAGGGTTTCTGGGAGTTGCAGTCCAAGAACATCTGGGTTATTCAAGGTTGGGAGCCACTGCTCTGTGTAAAATGGTATGCATTTTGCGTAGTGCATAATTCTGCTCCAGAAGACACTGGAGCCTTTTCTGACTCCTGGATATCCCATTCAGGCGTCAGTTTTCATAAGGTAGTACTAATATAATCAAGACAAGAAGCTATACATTTCAATTTAAAAAGAAAAAGGTACAAATTTTGTAAATGTTTAAATGTTGTAAGCCGCCCAGAGACCTTTGGGTAGTGTGGGCGTTGTATAGTATAGTATAGTATAGTATAGTATAGTATAGTATAGTATAGTATAGTATAGTAT